AAGCCAAAGCTACAGATACAGCAGCACACACCTGCGAACTCTCACTGCCCGCAGTCCCCTGGGCACTCCCCAAAACACATGCCACAACCCCACCAAAGCCCCACTCAAGCCCCATCCCATACGCCATGTACGATATACCATATACCATACCCATATCGCATCCACGTGTGCGTTCTGCCCGCCTTCTGGCAATCGACAAACGGCAATACCCAATACCCAATACCCAATACCAATACCCAAGCCAAATGCAACTCCAAATCAATGCTCCTTGTGGCGGCTTCTTCCCAAAAAGGTTTTGTGGTCGGCGGCGATCGTGCCAAAAATGGGTTTGCAACTGGAATTCGCTTTTAGCCAAGCAACATACTCGAACGTGTGGGGACCAGGTTCAGCATCTCAGATCCTGCTCTAGCACCATTCGATGCACTGCTAAAAAAGATGGCTTGGTTTTCTAGAAAACTACCCAGTCATACTATGGTGCGACAAAAGTTGTTTCTGATTAACCGATGTTTTATTTACTTCTAGGCACTACCCTATATAGTATACAGAATTTGAGGTTTAAATTTTGGATGGTGAAGCCTTACTTTTTTGGACTCTGCATTTTCTCCTTTAATTTTCACAATAGTCTTACGTGGAGGATTAAGTTCTGAATCCCGTTTTCGAAAACCCCCTTCAAGGATAATATTTTTTCCGAGTGTAAGACCCCTGGCAGATCTGCCAAACTCCCAAGTGCAGGTGGCGATTGGCCAAGACTAAAACTCAGATCGGGCGACCAGCTGGTGTGAACAGCTAGAAAGTTTTAGTGCCGGCATACCCACTGCCGTACCCCTCATCTCTCTTTAATCCTATCATCTGGTCCTGAGATCGTGAGAATCAGTGCGGCAGCGCGAAATTTATTTGTGTGCTGACCAAAAACAAATGCCGCGTGATTTCAATTTATGGCCATCTAATGAAAATTTGACAAATAGCAAATGGGTAGGCTTCGGGTTCGGGGCCAATAACATACATCATGATCATGATCGCTGGCGAAAAAGGCACTTCCGTCAATTGATTGAAGTGCCTGGGCTCGATCCCGATCCGATCCCAGTCCCAAGGAAACCGCAAATCTCGAGCAGTCTGTCAAAGTCCCCGCATCAAGTTGTTGGCTGCTCCGATTTATGTCTGCTCGATGGAGTCAAAGTCGTGACCCGCGAACATTGAACTCCCAATGAACCGATCTTGTCTACTGTGTAGCTCAAATGTTGTGGATTTCGCTTGGGCTTCCACTTGGAAAAATGGATAGCTTTTAAATAGTAGTGTCTTAATAATCATCAATTTATAATATTATACATTTTTGAAAATTTGTACCATAATAGATCATATTTATAGGACCACCATAATCTTACAGACTTCATTTCTTATATTCGATCCAAGCTTTCGTTTTTTTTTCAGTGCTCGGGTGAAACATAATCCCTAGAAGAACAACTTACTGGTCGATTGTTTAGCGATCTCACCTTGGCTTCCACAATGCAACTAACTGGGATTTTCGGGGCCCAAAGGCAGCGCCACACATTAAAGCGAAATGAATTTGAAATCCGCCAGCACGAAGTGCAATTTTCAAACTGTTCAACATAATGAAGCCATTGCCAGGGGCAGAGTCTAAAAAAGTCGAAAGAGACCCCGAGACCCATTGTCAATCATATCCGAGAGTTTATTTTCCCACATTTTATGGTCGAACTCCTCATGGGAAAATCAGTGAGTTGGCTTCGCCTAGTTGCGCAACAATTATATCGCTCTGGTTTTGGGCCCTCCGTATAAAGGGTCTGTAGGGTCCACACACCTTCTACAAGGTTGCGCTCCGCTGAACCCCCTACCAAAATATTGTAGAAAACTCAGCAAGTCATTTTCTGGGGTTGCAACTACTAACTGCTACCATATACTACTACTACTGTTTTTTAACCTTTCACGGTTATTACCTAGTCCAGGACGGAAGTGCGCTTCTTGAGATCTTGTGACCAAGTTTTTCACACATTCCCCTCGGTGCACAGGTGCTTCTAAGGAGATACCCCAAAAAATTCGCTTCCAGTGTGCGTATGTAAATTTTTCTTTTATTTTGAACGGAAATTAAATTAACGATACGCTCTATTGGGTTGATATGGAAAATTGCGTTTGAATTAGATTCCACGATACGACTTCCATTGGCTTTAGTTTTTTCTTATTGCCCAATAAATTAACTGGCTAAGTGATTCGAAGTAAAGAAAATTTTGGGGTCACAATGGCATAAGTTGGTAGTTATATTATATTTAATAAATTATAATATTTAGGAACTATAGGGTAGAGTCGCGGAAAATCATATAAACAAATAAAAGAACGGAAATAAATAATTACGACTACTTAATGGCAAACAACTTATTAATTTTTTGAAAAGTGGATTTTATGCCTCACTACAATTCTTTGTTGGTTATCTCAGAAATATATTACTTCGAAAGGAATATATTTAAAAGTATGTAAACGTCCCGAGCGACATTCTACACTTTTATCAAGCTCAAAAATGCAATATTTTTGAATCAAGGCGCCAAGTGTTCTTCCTCTTCATGAACATGAGTCATAATTTTCCTGAGCTGGTAAACACCAACATCGTCTTGCTCTTTGACCCCCATTACATTAATTTACAGTTTATTTACATGTAGAGTTGTTCTTGTTTTCGGGCGACACCTAGCGCATGGTAATACAACTAATATAATATTGACTAGGCTTTTCTGCTGACAGATGGCGCCGCAATGTGGTGGTTGATATTCGAAGAAAACTTATTTTAAATCAAAATATCGATATATCGATGATATATATATATTATACATATACGTAATCACATAGGGGGTGTGGGGGGAAGGTCAGCAAAATGATTCCGCCTGTGGAAAAAAAATTTTGTTCTACGCTACAAATTGATTACGTGGGGAATGGGGGCCAAAAATCGGAAAAATTGTGATCCCGTTGGTATATAGGCAGACCCTTAGTAGACCAAGTTTTCATACCATTGCAAAGGGTATGCTCGTTTCCGTTTGTCCGTCCATTTGTCCATCAGTTCAATTTTACGAAAACTCGTAGTTTACCAACTATGCAGGACCATTTCCACATCAATTAAATGCTTTTAGTCCCCCTAGGACTTGGTAAGCCGCTTTCATTTTTTAATTATAAAAATGCTTGGTACTTAAGATAAATTCGTATAATTTGCTATATTTATATCAACCCGAAATTTAAATGGCACTGCCATCTTCATGTTGCTTACAATCAACGATAGCTATCGATAGATACAAAACACAGATGTTTGGATCATGATAGTGATACCTTCCCCCGCGATAGCATGGCCACGCCGTTAAATAAATGCGCAGCCTAGGAAACTTTTTTTTGCTATCGTAAACAATGGACATAAAATGTAAGTAAAACTTACAAAAACTTATAGATGCAAACAAAACCAAGAAGATTATCCTACAGACGATGAAAAGAAGTGGAATGCGTCCAACACCAGGATGCTACTAACCCTTTACAGCCAGCGACAGGCAGATTTTCGAAACCCGAAAAGGAAGATCAAAGACGTCTGGGGGGAAATGGTCGTAGCCCTGCAAAGTCATGGAATGACAGATATAGACGCCACCCAGCTCGATCGAAAGTTCAGGAACCTGAAAAAGACCTACTACTGCATAAAGAGCAAGCACTTGGCAAAGGGACCGCAGTACCATCCCAACTGGCAGTTCTACGACGACATGACAGAGATTCTTAAGGACGAGCCCGTGCCGTGGACACAAGTCCTGACCATGGATGACTACTCGGCGATGCATACGTTCCTGCGTGACGATGACGCGTACAATCCGGTCAATGAAATGGAGAGCGGCAGGATGTTATCCATCGGCACCACTGTCCGGACAGTCGTTCCCCGCCCGCAGAAGCGTCCATATCGCAAACGAAAGTTGGCAATGGGTGAAGATAATGGCAGGACCGGAAATGGAAACAAAGAACCTGAGCAACCGTCCAGGGAAGCTGATCCGGTCACGGTCTTCAATGCCGCAGAGCCGGAACCGAGTAGTTTGGCGGAGTCCAAGGACGAGCTGTCCATCGGCACCAAGGAGGATGCGTTGAGACACCTGCGGGCACTCCAGGAATACGCCATGTTCCAGGACAATTTTAGGGCCATCGGATTGCTCATGCAGGCGGAGAACGCCATTCAATATCCACCCAAAAGCGACGATTTTGAAGTGGATCAAAAGTAAAGGGACCTCATAGCCATTAAAGTTAGCTAGTACTTATAAATGTAATTAATTAAACATGTCCTATAATTACCCCTTTATTATTTTAAATAATTAAAAAAAGTATACTCCTAAAATTCGATCAGTTTCTGTAGTTTATTTAAGATGCTAGACTTTTGCTTTAGAACTTATACGTATGTGCTAGCACTCTAGAACTTAAGGTAATACCTAATTACATGGATGTTCGAAATGATTTAAACATATAGTTGATTATTTTTTATTAAAGTACAATAAAACTATCTGGCAACATCGCAATAGTGAAAAAAATCAAGCCAAGACAAACACCAGCCCTGATTAAATGTGGTGTAAAAATGGTCTTAAGTCAAGCAGCTCAAAACCCAAATATAACATGATTGTAAGCAGTTACAAAAACATTAAATGTAATAGGAAAAAGCTTGCAATAGCGTTTTTTCAAAAAGGGCAAGTTTTACATCATTTATTAAAATCAAATTAATATTGAATATTGGCAGCACACACACCAGCCCTGAAAAATATGGTGTGAGTATTGACTAAATGAACCAATCTGGCAATATGATGTATCAATTATGGCAGTTTGTTGATAAGTAAATTCAAAAACATAAAATGCTAAGTGCCTTTATATACAGAGGTAAGTGTAAAAATGAAAAATGAGTATAATTTCAGTTTTTAAGAATCTAATAACTATATTCAACTTGGTAAATCGTAATCGATAACTGCAAATTGGCAACACCAAATGGAGCAGCTTGGCAATACCACTCACTCGAGAATTCGGCAGCCCTGGACACATATTTAACTAATTTTCCATTTGTTTTAAATCATGGCAAAAACAATGAATTTACCAGACAACTTGCAGTCAAGGGTGTTTGCACTAGGTCCTGCTCCACCTGGGTTTCGTCCCCCGAAGGCCACCGCCTTCGCCACCGCGGAGTCAAATCTCCGAAGAGCCACTACCTACCTCAAAGACACCAACAACAGGCTCGAATATTTGCGTGTTCGTCTGCAGAGGGAGACAAATCAGGCCAGGCGCATGTCTTACAAGGAGAAAACCATGTCCTTCGCCAAGGAGCAGATCCGGGCCAAGGCACTCATTACCAAGTACCGGCTCAAGCTAGTCCACCTGCAGGATGCCGAGATTTTCAAGGTTACCAAGCACCTCAAGCAAATGGAGGACCTCCTCGCCGATGTGAACAACCGACTGGCCAACCTGAGAAGCAAAATCGTAAAGGAATCCGATGCCAAAGTCCGCCAGGTCGACGTCACTAACTCCTTTCACCTGGTGCGGGAGCAGCACAAAACCAAGGTACTCTGCGAGCGGTGGCAGGATCGTCTGGACCAGCTGAAGAAGGCCAGAATCGTCAGGAGCGACCAACTACTTCAGAAGCCAACGAGTGTAAGTCGTCTTGGGATCATGAAAGACTACCTATTCAATTCACAAATTTAAAATGTACATGTAATCATTTGTTCATCCTATAATCCGGAAAGCTACAAGAACTTAAAAAAACAAACTGAAAGCGGCATCTTTAATTAGATTCTGCAACAATAATAGTAATTAGTATCATAATTACATGACCATACAAAATTAGAATTTGATATTTCAGTATGTGATGTTAATCGATTTATACTTACGTTTATTTGCTAACTGTTCTCTTTATAGTTTCAGAAACCACAAGCACTGACCAGATTACCGGAAAAACCAAAAACAGAACACCAAAAGTTGCAGGAAGCCCTGGTCTTGGAAGCATCCGTAAGTAGAGAATATTCCAAGAATTCGCTCAATTGTAATAATTCTAAAACCTATTTTAGAAAGCCAAGGGTGCCAAAAATAACGCCATTGAAACTGGCTGCAAGAGATGTGCATTCCTCAGCAAGATGAATAAGCAAGGACAACCCAGGCTTTGTAGAGTATGTAAAAAATGGGCTGATGATAAGGGCAAGGCCAAAGAAACAGTAACTAAAAAAACGGAGTCGAATGATTTAGAGGTTCGAGTGTGCATGGATTCTAGCTCAACAGAATCTACAATAAAAATAGAAATAGAGGTTCGTTTTTACAAATACATTTCCGACAAATTAAATGCATCCAAATATTTCTTTAGCCCGTTGAATTAAAAGAGATCGAGGAAATGAGGTCTTTGGAAAATGAAACTATCTCAAATTCCAAAATGAACAAGGTGAGAATGATGTTTAATTAAAACTGTCGTTAATCTTTTTCTACAGCCCCCGCAGCTACTCAAACCAGCAGAACAATTGCCTGGGAAACCTGGAGAACTAAACATAAACGGAAAACGACTTCGAGCAGTGCAAGTTAATAAGGTGAGTTTTAAGCTTATTTTTAAAAACTGTTTTTAAGCTCTGAAATTCTTTTCTACAGCCAACTCATTTACTAAGCCTAAATGAACAATCACCTGGGCAACCTGAGAACCAAAATCAAAGTGGGAACCGATTGCAAACGCCTGGTCAGTGGTCAGTAACTATATCGAAGGCCAAAGTGAATAAGGTGAGTTTGAGTTTTGACTTACATATAAATGGTTTTTAGACTATATTTTCTATAGCCTCCTGAGCAACTTCGCCGTGTTGAGAAGGCGGGACAACCTGAGGAATCTCCAATCGCCAAACGAATTCGTACAGCACAAGCTCAACGTGAAACTGTCTCGAATGGTAAAGCTAATGGGGTGAGTTTCTCCTTTAAAATTTAAAAACTTTTTTTGAATCCAGAAATTTTTTTTATTTAGCCTCGTCTTGTTCGAGTTGAACAACAGCCTGGGCAACCTGAGGGACAAAATCCAAGCATAAAACGAACAGCGCAAGGTCCACCTCAACCTATTTCAAATAAAAAACTTAATAAGGTGAGTTTTACCTTTAAATTTATCAAATTACCTTTTAACTTATCAAATTTTTGGCCTCCTCAACTACTGTCCCGAGTTAAGCAAGTACTAAGGCAACCTAAGGAACAAAATCAAAACGGAAAACGCCTTCAAACATCGCATGTTACTCGGGAAACTATATCGAATGACAAAGTTAATAAGGTACATTTTTCCACCAAGCAGAATAATTTTAGTTTCTAAAATAATTTTTTGCAGCCTGCTCAACTATTTCCCGTCATTGTAGCTGTTAAGTCGGAAGCAGTATCCTCAATTGAGGTGAGTAAATTGATCAAAAACTGTTAGAGTAAATAATTTATAAATTGATTTACCATTAACAGGAGGACCAGGTTACAAGCAAAGACTCTATCGACCCCAATATAATCACATCCATACAAGATACTCTAAAATCCATTGACAGTAAAAATATGGCCCTGGCACACCTGAAAATTTTACAAGAGTATGCCATGTTGAATGACAACTTTCGGGCCATTGGCCTACTCACGGAAGTCGAAAAATCTATTATCCATCCTCCCCAGAAGGAAGATTTCGATCTTTGATTTGTAGATGTTATATATAATTTCTTTAACTATCGCTTTTATTTTTAAGATGTTAAAAATAACTTTATTACTGCCGAGGTCCCTTGTACCACAACGAAGTGAATTTATTAAACTAATTTTAAACAATATTTTAAATTTATATGCGAAAAATACCTACCACAAAAATAATAGCCAACCAGCGTGAGATATGGACTTTAAAGGAAGAAGTCGGTGAACTAGAGTTTGATTTCATTGAGTTCTTCTAAGCAATTGACAGAAAAGATTAAGTATATAACCGAGATCGAGTCTAAGGAGTCAGTCAAAAGAGTAGCTTGAAAAAGGTGTGCCTTAAATCCGGATATGTTTAGTAACAATATATTCAGGTTTAAAGTAATATTCATTCTCAGGGATGACTCGTGTTATAACAGGTCCATTAAACTAGTTTTCAGATCATAGGTCAGAGGAAATCTAATAATGACTTTTATACATATATTGGACCAGGTACAATAACTTTCACTGCTACACCTAGTTTAACAAAAGGTAAAAAGTTCACCTAAAGAACAAATGGAAATAGGTTTTGAGCTGCAAGCCAGTTGTCGTTTAGATTAAGTGATAATGAGATTGGTTTATTTTGGCATGTAAAACCAGTTATAGCTGCTTTGGCGAGAGATTATTTACTCTCGATCTTACTAAAAATAAAACCCAGGCATGCCATACCATACCTTACCACAAAGATATAGCTCGATCGTCGGGGGAGCAGTGGGTTTTGAGCGCGAGAGAAACGAAAGAGCGAAATTTCTCGTAACGCTCGCAAAGATCCGGTTTTACATTCTCTGAGAGCGTCTGAGAGTACAGATCGTACTTTTCGCCCCGCATGTGCATACATATGTTTATCATTCTTCGATTTGCAATCGCTCTGGAAACTCTGAAAACGTGCTGCTGCAGATTTTGTGTGTTTAATGTGCCTAAAAAACTGCTGCATATTTGAGTAAAACCAATTTCTATGGTTTAAAAAGTGATTAAGAGGTATGTACAATGAATTTGGTTTATTCGTTGATAGTATAACAATGCAGTATAACTTTCATCATGCGCAGACTTTGTTATTTCATCGGAGGGCAAGCTAAAAGAGAGTGTAGAAGAGCGTACCACATCAAAGAAACCTGTATGTGTGGGAGAGGAAATGTACTCTGACGTAAGTACTCTTTTTTTTACAGTGAGTAACTGAGAGGCCATACTTCCATTTTAGCAATTTGAAACTCACAAAAAGAATTAGATTAGGAAAATATTCCTTAAATAAATATATATAAGAGTACTTTTCAAGGCCTTTGTAATAAGAAGAACATTTCAGAATATGTACTCAAACTTAATCGATCTTTACAATCCTTTTTGTCACAAATGTTTGTATCAGAACCTTGTCACTAGTTTTTTACCTCGTAGGAGTTGTTTTATTTTTCAAAAGATTTTAATATTAATTATATTTTTAGATTATTTTTATAAATAAATATTAAATTCAAACAGCCAGAGCTTTGATTTTTGTTAGTATCGGATTGCTGTCCTCAGTTTCTTGCATTCCCCTTTCCAAGAGCGCCACTAAGTAAACCACAATCCAATTGCAGAATGACGATGGGCACGAACATTCCAATGGAGCGCAGCGTATCCGGAACGTGTTGACTCTGGAGGAGCGGGTGGCCGCCATTCGGCAGTATGACATAGTGCCGATGTACAGCAAGATTGCGCGGAACTTCAATTGCAGCTGGGAGCAGATCAAGAGCATAATGTCCAACCGGGAGGCGATCCTGGAGTTCCACGAGGCCACCAACCGCCTGAGCCAGCCGCCCAGTAAAGATGCCGAGCTGCGCCGGCGCAAGCTGAACTTTCTGGGCCACTGCCTGTACGAATATATCCAGAGGGCCCAGTTCTATCTGCACAGCGATATCAACGAGGAGTTGATCCGCAACCGGGCGATCGAGTTCCGGGACCTCATGCGACTCGACGGCTTTGTGCCGAACAAGCCGTGGATCAATCACTTCAAGGCGGCCTACAATATAACCCTGTCGAATCGCCAGATCACCATAACCCGCCGACCGCCGCGATCGATGGACTTGAGAGACATTATGTCCTACTGTGGGCGACACACCTCCATGGCCTGTAGTCTGGCGCCCAGATCGCCGGAACCCTCGTCCACGACGAGCCTGGACGTCCAGAGGTTCGTCGACCGACCTCTGTACCGCACCAAGACCTTGGTCACCACGTCCACCCAGAACCAGGCCACCTCGGACGAAGTGCAGCTGCGACGCAAGCGGAAGATCGCGTTCCTGGAGAAGTGCATGTACGAGTACATCCAGCGATCCCAGCTGCACAACAAGGGTCGACTCGACATCGACAACCTGCGGTCGGTGGCCATTAGTCTGAGGGACATCCTGAAGATCGAGAGTTTCTTTCCCGACAAGGTGTGGTTCAAGCACTTCAAGAGTCGCTATAACTTCACCTTCTCGGTGGGTGTTCCGGTGACCAATCGCCGAGTTCCGCTCTCCCTGGACCTCCGCGACATAGTGAGTTACTGTAGCAGGAATGAACACAAGATAACCCTGGCCCACAAGAAGACACAGGAGCAGCTGAGAGCTGGCTTTGTCCACTTTCCACGGGTGGAACCAAAGACCGAGGAGTCGGAGCCAGAAGATGATGACGATTGTGTGGCCATCGAGGTGCCACCTGAACTCATAGAAATTAATGACGATGAGGATAATGAGGACGATGATAGAAATGCCGACTCCCCGGCGAGGGCCACCAAACGAAAGTTGGGGGAGGATGAAGAGCCCGCGCCCTGTGGGCTGAAAATTCAAAAGATTCAATCGCTCAGTGAGACATTTTCTGGGGAGACGGAACTTCCACCGGCTAATAGTCCCGGTCATTATTCAGAGACCAGCGATGAGGCCCATCTGCCACGTTGCGTGGAGAGCTACAAGGATGCACTGCGTCTCCTCAAGCCCCTGGAGGAGTTCGCCCTGATGGAGGAGAACTACCGAGCCATCGGCCTGCTCACCCAGCTGGAGAAGATCTTCGAGACTGGGGCGAAGAAGAATGGGGAACAAAACAAATCCCTGGAATAGGAACCCAACCAAATACTTGTGCCTTAAGTCCTAAAACTTGAAAAGTATTTACATATGTTAAGCTTTGATATAAAGTTTGGAAGGTTTGCTTTATACAACACAGTAAAGAGGTCGTTTAAATAATATGTTACTTCTTTAAATTAAACATGTTAATTTACTCAGAATGTTTACCATGTTTTTAGTTAAAATACAAATGAATTCCTTTATATTAAGAAATTTAATTTACTGCGAGTCTCATAGGTTAAAACAACAAGTAAGAAATACAAATTTCCTATTCCACTTCTTGTAAAAAAAAACTTCTTGTTAAACTTAAACTACTGTTCTTAAGTATTGATTAAAAAAGAAGTCTTTGATATGGATTGTCAAGGTATTGCACATCACGAGTATCCGTCTGCCGGTCGTTTATGGGGCTGTTCTCTGGGTCTTTGACCAGGTTACATAATAGCTTGCCATTTTTCCAGCGAGACTCGCAATCAGCGCTTAAACTTTACGTTCGTCCTCTAAAACTTTTCGCGATGTGGGATGAGATTGAACGAGTCCGAATGACCTGCAGCGGAGTTGAAGTTGAACGTGCGTGGAACAGAAGCTCCGGAAGTGGGCAGATGGAGAGGGAATGGCAATGGAATGGTGCCCCGTAGGTGCTACATCAATTCTAGATGGGTAGTACAGCCGGGGGTGGTGCGGCGAAGGACGAAGGTCGAAGGACGAGGTGGGAGGAGCGGATGCCAGCAGCGCAGCATCCCGGCGAGGGACCTTGCGGTGCCAGGAGGTGGACACTCCTCACAATCACACTCATACTTATAGGTTGTTAAGCATATACGTGCAGTGAAAAAAATATCACCTATTGATTTTATGTCCTGCACTAATGTATAGTACTTAGAAATGGGTTCCGGCTTGGAACCTTTTCTTTTTATCCTTTATGTTTTTTAAAAACATACTGAATATTTATTACCTTGCCAAAAAATCATAGATATACCTATTATTAAGTTTGCATAACTTATTTGAAAAGATGGAAAATTGTCCATAATATCATCCTAAGTTTTGTGATATTTAGGTTTGCATTTGGCAGGGTAAGAGCACTACGATTCGCAACCGGGTCTAGGTGTACGGAGCGTTGGAAATGCCACTTCCCCATTGCTACATCACCATCCGTTCTCGATTGCGGCAAAGTTTCGCCATACGAGGGCAACCCTCCTGGGCAGCAGAAGCTGAAGCTTCAGGACTTTCATTTCAAGGATTTCCGACCGACGTCGTCAGACTCGACTGACGGCGACGGCTTGACTATAGCACCCTCAGAAGCGGAAAACCTACGAGTGTAGGGTTAGGTGCTGGGGGGTTCCCCGATAAAGGTAGAGCCAGAACAAGAACAACACGAAGAAGAAGCAACATCAATGCAAACACAACAACTTTGGCTCAGGTTACTGCCACACGGCTGCGCCCCAAAACAAAATTGAAACCCCAGCGCGTTAAGAGCTCTGACATAAAACCCTGAAAGCGGAATTGCCGTTGAGGGATATACGACGAGCAAAAGGACAGACTATATATACAGCTCTTCAGCTACCTCAGCCTCATCCTCTGGCCCGTCGCTTCTTCTTTTACCCTCGAGTGCTGCCGGGGTTCGGAGTGGTATACATATATAGTATGGTATGGTACATATGCCAATCGCAGGACGGAGAGGATGTATAGCCGCAGGGCATGGAAAAATTGTCCAATTGGGTACAGTTGACGCGGGTTTTGTCGGGCACGAGCTTTATGATGTTACACAACTGTTTGTGATCGGTGGATGTGCAGAAATATTTTAAAGGGTAGGCATTATCCCATGTATACTCTTGCAAAGGACTTTGTGTGGTCTATCATGCAATCTTAATAAATACAATTTAATTAGAAAAACATATTCAATATTAATTTTAATAAGTCCCATTATTCTGAAAGTGTATTTATTTATTTTTACCAAACGTCGATGCTTAGCATCCTCTTAATAAGCTTTCATTTTTAAAACCCTTTGCAATTTAATGGGGCGTTGCATAAACTTTTGATACGGTTTTATTTCTTCCTTTTTATATGGATATCGTAAGGCGTACCATTTTATTAAGATTATAAATGTTAGAGCTCTGGGGCCTATTCTATTTATAGCATTTATACAGCGCTTCTGGGTGTAACTTTTTTTATTGTGTCGGAATCATCGAGTCCCACTGGTTCCGGGCGCTTTACTCATCCACAAGGGTGGATTTTTGAGAGTATGGCGTGACTAACTGCCATGCAATGTTCCCCAAAGTTTATGAAGGTAATTTTATCTTTTGTATATACAAAAGTTGTTCATTGTTAGAACCGGAAAGCTTCTTGGTGCGTATTTCGCAAAGCAATCTATTAACCTTTCCCTCCAGGTTCGTGAACAGTATATGTACATAATGGGTAAAAAACCAAAGTCCCAATAAATCGGTGGTTTACCTTGACTTGCTTTTTAAATAGGTAAAACGAACCAACAAGTTAAAATTCAGCGAACTCGATGAATAATCTTGAAAAGATCATTCAATATATTGGGAAAGTTTCCGGGGGAAGAACATAAACTGAATTACCTGTTTCACCAACGCCCCCTTTATCCATTAGCATCCTGTAAATGTATTCGATTTCATTTATTTACTGTGGCTGGCATTTAGTTGCATATATAATATCGATTCTTTCATCATACAGACTCACCCAATCGACCCCTTTAATCACCAAACATACAAACGATGCCATAATCGTTTCCATTGTATGCCAAATACGACTGGCTCGCCAAAACTGTAGACCCCGGCTCAAGAGCGACTCTACGAATACCCGTTCATCTAGAGTGCAGATATATTTAATGTATATACATTCCGAGCGGAAAACGTGAGAACCGACTGGATCTGACGACTATGGCGATGATGGCGAAACAAGTCTGGTTCTCTGGTTCTGCTGTTTGGGCTTATAATACCCCTTACTTCTGATTTGGGCTGTCGGTTCGGCATAAGCCTCTTGGGCTTTGGAGGCTGCAGGCAGACGATGATGATGATAGCCCTTGAGCTGAGACTCTGGAGGTTCCGACGATAATGATGACGATGCCCTTAGATTTCTGTCATGCGCCGCTCCAGCGTTTCGAGTTCGTTTTCCGTACTCGCACTTCGTCTTCCCTCGGTGCCACACAGCTTTCTATATAGATGGTAATCTATCTTTACTGTGCAAAAGATGTCGAGAGGACTCAAATGAGGGTACCGAAGAGGGCCTCTGTTCTGAACCGCTTTCCCTCCGAACCTCTGAACCTCCAAAAATCCCACCAGGCTGACAGTTCCGACTCCTTTCGGAAGGCCGCTATAAATACCAATCCAATCATCTTGGCCAACGACATGTATTGAGTTTCATTTGGGTTCGATTTTGGTATGAACAAATCGATTTGTTCGTTTTTTGGAATGAAAGTAAATCGTTCAGTTTTGCGCATGTTTGCCTTGCTAGAGATGACTAGCCCTGGGGATTCCCTAAGGTATTAGGTAGTGGGGTGCTTTTATGTACAGCAGTGTTTTTTACGTGGCGTTTTTAATAGCAATATTATTTTTAAATTTATAAAAAGTTTAGATTTTAGTTTGTGTGATCGTAGAACTCTGTATAATAATATACATAATAAAGGTTATTGACAATAAATAAATTATTCCAAAGGATATATTTACATCTAATATATAACATGATAATTATTTTTAAAACTTTGCATTTAAAACATGATTTATATCATGGGTCTTATCTTACCTTTTTTAAATTACTTCACTATTACAAATGTGTGGTGAAGGACAAGTAAGAGGTTCAATCCGACTTTGGACTTATATAGTTACATACCAGTGATAATCCTCTTTTGCATGCTGTGGCTCATTAAAACTATTTACTCCTTTGAGTTGCAGGCAACTAAGGCTTAAACAGAATTCATATTAGTCACAAGGTGAACTGCCACCTATTAGGCACGGATATGCCCTTTACGAAGTTGTTTAAATGCTCATAGAAAAAATAACTTAAAGTAAGCCTTTTAAATATTTACACTTTTCACGCAAATGATGGGCTACATCCCAAAACATTATAGTAATTTTATAAATCTAAAATTCCAATTGTCCCACAGAGCTTTTTTTAATTCTTTAAGTATCAGCAATTCAGCATCTCATAATTCTTTAAAATCTTAAAAATTGCGTTAAATGATCTATTTCCAAGTTCGATATCGCTCATATTTCATAGTCTGATATTTCGAACGGATTTTCCAATATCCAGTTTTCACCACCATAGTGCAAATGGAGCGATATTACACCACCGAGTTGTTCAGGGCATAACACGAGATGTAAAACCCCGATATGGAAATGGCAACAAACACGTAGTAGCGACGGCAATGAGTTCACATCGCAAGGTCGGCGGGGGGATTTGAATCGGAATCGGGATTGGGACTGGGACTGGGATTGGGATTACTAACAGCGGCGTCGACTGTGCTAACAAGGGGCCAGTGGCATGGAATCGAGAATCGGGCGGGGGGAAAGCGAATGGGCCACTGGCAACTGGAGTGGCAGAAGGCACAATGGAAATTACTAGGAAAAATTCAGGTCCCTATGGTGCTTTTGGGTGCGACGGTCGTCGCATAGATACCCACACACACCAATAGCTCTATATAGCTGCAGATAATCAGGGAAACCGACTGAACGACCGACGGACGCTGCAGGCGGACATCACATATAGATTATAGCACAATGGGGAGACGAGCCAAAGATGCGGCGATACCAGTGGAGATACTCGCCTCTTACATACCTTTAGTTTCAGTCGAGGAACCGAAACGGAACACTGAGACCAAAACCCAAACCGAACCTCAAACTGGCATCGCATAGGAATCCAGCGAGCAACAGGGGCCAAGGCCCGGTACGTAATCAAAAAAGGTAATGGAAAAATACTATCTCGGGTCGTGGCAACGATTTCACAATGCTCGCTCTGTCCCAGTGGATGAAGTGGGGGAGGACGAGAGCTAGGTTCAATATAATACATAACCATAATAAATTCCATGGCTAAATCCCCGCATCTCTCCAGAAAAAGGTCATAATAGATGAGCTTAGTCGAGCTCAGGGCGAGTGGGCGGCCCTCCCACTTACAGTGGAACATTGCTACCTGAAACCTGAGTGAATTAAATATTTTTGTAAAATATTTTTTCCCTTAAAAGAACTCAGGAACAAACATTTTACGTCCACAAAAGTTTCTGGAAATTAAAAAAATCAGAATTCGACCATCAGTTGGAAAAAGTATTGTTACATTCTTTTAGACTAATTTATATGTAATTTTGAAACAGCAGTGATTTCTGCGAAAATCTCGATGAATACACATTTGTAAATCTGTTAAATTTAAAAGCAAGTTTAAAAAAATATTTTTAAAATTTGAGAGAAACAAAAATACAAAAGGCACAAACGCTAGCAATTAAGCCCTATTACCACACAATTTTCTCAAGTAGAGGAACATTCGGCTTAGAGTAATGCGATTTATAGACTGTCGACTGTTTATATATTACTGTGCGAGGCCCAATGTGTGTGCTTGAGGGTGTGTGCTTGTAGGGTTCCGTTCCTGGCTCATCGCAATCACTTCGGATTCGAATTCGGAGTCATGAAATGGCAAAAGGAAAGGTCATTTTCTTCGATGCTCCAGCTCGTTTTCTAAAGGTTGCCAAGGGCTTTTACCCCCTACGACTGCCGCCATTACTTTCGTTTCACCTCCACCGCAAAAAGGCATTTGTAGAAAAGTTTTCCTGGCTGGTCAGTAGCGGATAGCTGCTGGAATATAATATAATAGAGTCGAGTCATCGTCATCGTCAAGCATCCGAGCATCCAAGCATCCGAGGAAACGAAAACCCAGAGTCCCCAAGCGCACAGACCACCCAGAATAACCACCCAGCCCAGAAGCCACCCATTAGCACCACCCGCCGCAGAGGTTGATGCTGTGGTTTTATACCTTTTCCAATACTTTTCCTTATATATATACACACACCTAATATATACCAGCCGGGATATATGCTATGTGTGCGATTTCCCACCACCCGGACACAATCGCATCGAAATGGAAGGGAACCGACCGAAAAGTACGAACCCAAACTGAGCGTTATCCATTTATATCTTCAACTTGTATTAGGACTAATCCATCAAAACGCTTCGAACTAATGGCTTCAGCCTCTGCCGGCGTCGCTGCCGACGCCCCAGTTATTTTGTTATTTAGTCCCAATCCCAAACCCAATCACCTACCAAACCGGGCAGCGATACTTCAACTTACAGCTATATATACAAGATACACATGGCCACGGCTATCAGCTTCCCAGCATCTCAAAGATACGTGTGTTTTGGCTTGGAATGGACTTTCTGTATGTCCACTCACATTTATATATATGTATTATAGTTGCCATGGCACTTTGCTAACGGATGTGAGTCTCCAATGCCTATATTGAATGTCCCAAGAACCCGAACCCGATTCCGAAGTCGAGCCAAGCATCTCTGCATCACGACTCGCTTATATGGAGTATCCATAGGAAAACTTGTTTAAATTGGTCTGATGCCAAACGAAAATTAAAACTTACAGACTGGCGATTCGAGTGGACCAAAAGGGAAGATCGTTTTGTATCACGGTTTTCTAATCCGAATTATATAAAATGGGAACTACGAATTCGGAAGTTCATAATTTTATTTACTTCCAAAATATCAGGTTATTATCTATTTTTCAGTTCTAATAAAGAACTGCTAAATTCCTTTTTTAATATCAGGATGATTCAAAAACAATGATCGTTTTTAAATATACTTCTCAAAAATATAACATTAGCCCAAGATCGATCATAGCATGTTTCTAAACAGGGTTCAGCCCAATAGCGATTATAGAGTCCAACAAGTCAATAATAATACCCAAAAATAGGTACAATTACCCGCGTTTGTCTGATGGTATACATACCGCCTATAGATATATCTGACTCAAGCTACAGATACCGGAATTCCAAGCCACTTTCGTCAGACCCACAACCGAAACCACTCATCCACCTCAGACGAGAGATACAGATACACACAAGCACGACAAGATGGATGAGATGGAGTGGAAGGGAGGCAGTTACCATGGCGGGCTCTACGTAAGCCCGAAAACCCGAAAAACCCATCAGAGAGCTCTATGTACAAGCGCCCCAAACTAAAGCCGTAAAACGCACCCCAAAGGTAGGACGAGATGACAGGTTGGGCTTCGGATTCGGAATCGGTTGTTGGGTTCGGCTTGGATTTAGAGCTCGGGTCTTCGGGCACATATCGCCGACGGCGGACATACGAGACGGTGACGGAGACGGGACGCCCGCCAACTGACACTGCCACCCCCGTTCAGTCTGGCGATTCCACGTTCAGTCGCCTGGTACTTGCTACTTTTGTTGTTGTCGCTCTGCCTGTTTGTTTTTCACGTCTTGCGCTAACGCTAGCGTCGACTGCGGTGGAGCAGAGCTGGAAGTCTGGCTATTTTCTAGCGACTGTTTATGTACCCTTCACTTTCGAAGTTACAAATCTTAAAAGATTCAAGTGTCTGTTCCAAAACTACCCCCATTTTCACTTTCAAAGTTACAAATCTTAAAAGATTCAAGTGTCTGTTCCAAGAATACCCCCTTTTTCAAAAACCCACATACTAAAATTGATATCCCTTGAGAAAGTATTACAGCTCAAAGACCAATTCCTTTTGGCCTTTTTTATATAAGCCTCAGTTGGACTCCGGAAAGTATGCTACGATATTTAGAAAAGTGAAGGTTTCATATTTTCATACTTCTCCTTCGTAAGGTTGACTTTTGGCTCGCAAATTTTTATTAAAAGAAAATTATATGGAACAGAAATAATGGAAATATCAATTATAGGAGTAGAATTTCACAATTCTGAGACCATTTCACTAATTTTTCACTGTGAAGAACTTTTGAACCGCACTTTATAAGATGTTAGTAATACTTATTACCGGAAGGTGTAGGTACAAACCTTAGATGACAATAGACCAATTTGAATACGGTTGGCTATCAGATACTTTAATGGCTTCTTTCTGTTGATAGTCTTTCTTTTAGGCGCACAAACTTTTCAATCCGATTTTCTTAATTTGAACTCTGTTGAACCTTAGCTATTTCCATAGCACCTTTGGCATCTCAGGTCGAGAGGTTCTTGGCATCGAGCCGTCCTTGCCGCCGCTTCTTCGCTTCTTCAGCCGCTGCTGCTGCGCTGCCGGCGCCTCTGCCGCATCGCTGGCAGTGCCTTAGGTTTTTGGTTTGGCATGGCTTGTTTGGGATTAAATATTTCCTATAGATGGGAAAAACGAGTCGGTCGGGGTCGTTCGTCGAGTCGTGGCTGTTGGCTGTAGCCGTAGCTGTGCGATGATGATGTCGCTAGTTTTGGTTTCGTACACTCTGTGTTGAACGTTCGTTGGCGGCGGTTCACGCATCGCGTCCGCAGCTTTTACCCTCAGTTCCCGAGTGGTTCGAAATATCGTGAATATATCGCGGCAATACTATAACTATAACCCCTAGAGGCCTGGATTTTTAGAACACGCTCTTTCGGCGTTTTTCGGTGACACTGGATGTGAGTAGAGTCCACTGTGCGGATGGGTGATGTGGTATTTACGTATGCGTGTGATTCTGTGATGTAAACAAACGGGGTCTTGAGATTCTGTCGCGTCGCTGCCGACGCCCTGTTGTTATTGTTGTGGTGTGTTTGCAATTAAAAAAGCCGCATTTGCTTGTGCGTTTGTGTTTGCTGGTGTTTGTTTGCCTTTGAAAAATCGCCGCTTTTGTTTTTATTCGAGTTCCTCAGACTGCGCGGCGTTTGGGGGCTTGTTTTGATTTTGGTTTTGCATTTGCCCGATTTTCGCCAGCTTATTTGTTTACTTGTGTGTGCTTGTGGGTGTGATAAGGGTACATTGCCCGCTGATTTGGCGCCAATTGAACGAACGTGCTCCTCGGGAATGGAGAGTCCTTGAAACGGCCAAGGACAATTCGAAATCGGAAATTGGAGTGGGCGTGTTAGTGGGTGTTTCTGATTAAATGGGGCATGACTAATAAGTAAAGCTGCTTATTGAAAGCTCCTTTATTGAACTATAGTGGTTCTGTTTATGATCAAGTGGTAACGAGGTTGAATGGGATGGAAAGGTGCCTATTAATAGAGCGTTATTCCATCTGGTTTATTATTAGAAACACTGTTATTTTGGTTAAGTTATTGATTACTCTTATTACTTATTTAAAATATACATGTTACTGCAAATCAAAATCAATCTCCATCCCTCGACAATACAATCTCTTAAAATACACCGACATTGGCCATCTATATCTCACATTAATGACCTCATAGACATAAAACCGAGATACAAGCACACATAGTACATGTGGCCAGCATAGACATAGTCTGTTTCTTTATTCCCATGAGTATATCTTCCCCCTCAAATCTGAACAAGCTCACAAACACAGTGGAAAAGACTGACTGAAATTCGAATCATGGCATGCCATGCTATATAACATCCCATCCATTTATGCGCTGCTGGTAAACCAGCCCAAAAAGGTCCGACCAAACCACCTTGAGATATAAGATAAATAAGTAAACTCATGCCAGTGCCGGAGCCCAAGAAAGACGAAAACCAATCGCAAAATTACCTGACATCGTGAACCGAACCGAGTGAAACCCAAAACTACCAGCTTAATCCCCAGTGCGGCGCAATCCGGGACGGGGGAATACTTACTTATATATATATATAGAGTATAGGTATGGTATAGGGTATGGACAAAGGGCGAGGCAGAAAGATGGTAGGTAGAACGTATAAACGAACCAAAAGTAAACGAGCCAAAAAACCGAACCGAAAACTAAACTTCCTAGGCGAACAATGGCTAGAGATACTGCGATACTGAGATACAAAAGATATGTGGCCAACAAAGGGAACCTGGGTTCGGTCTGGGACTGGAATCGGGATTGGGACTAGCACAGGGACTGAGACCCAGACCGGAGCATCATCTTGATGGCTCCGATGATAATGACGCTGCACGAAATTTCACGAAGAACCCAGGAGCTAAGGCAGCCCAGTCGACATAGGCAGCCATTAGGGTGAGTCTGTGGGAGGGGAATCGGGGAATCGGAATCGGAATCTGCAGATTGGGGCAGGAAGGTGGGAAGGCGGCGGAGGGGCAACTTGGCACGGGGAATCCCCCCGGGGGCTGACGAGGGACAACTCTCGAGGCGATTAAGATAAAGTGCCAATCGATATAAGGGAAAGAAAGGCAAGAACTGAACAGGCGAACTGAACTGAGCGAGCTGAGATGTCGAGATACTCGTACTTGGAGCTACATCCACGTCCATGTCCGCATCCGATGCTCTGTATACATTCACAGGCGCCGCCAAAATAATAGTGGCGCGAAAGGGTTATTCATTGCAACCAAACCAAAAGGGATTTTAAAAGATTTCCTATTTAAAAAAAACTATTTCAAGGAATTGGTATTACAATATTTATACAAATCATCATAAAATTCTGGTCATTAGCTGAACTGATCATATTAAAAAACTCTTTCTTTGCTTCTAAAAAGTAAAAATAATAAAGGATTTTAAGGCAGTAGGATTTTCGTCAAACTTTTAATCATATTTTTTTCAAGTTTGATCAAGTAAATCTCAAAAGTACGACATCGCTCTAGAATCTCATATCATTAGCATTACGAAATCGTGCACAATAATGGTACGCTTTATAATCCTCCACCATTCCTCTTATAGCCCTTGAACCCTCTATAAGTACACTCATAAATCTACAAAACGTACTTGTCTGGACCTTTTCAAAACCCACCACTATTCCCCTGGCCGCTGCTGTGAATATATAGCCATACTCAGAGCCTCAGAGTCTGAGCCATACCATACCCATAGCAATAGCCATAGCCATAGCTTGGGCCATAGAGAGCGACATAAAAGGAAATATAAAACCATTTATAAAGCGAGTCAGTCAGGGGAGATTTGAATTGGAATTGATGGTGTAGTGCACTCGACGGTGCCTTGGTGTGCGTGCGGATATACGGATATACACACGGACACACACACTCTCACTCCCGTCCAAGACATAGACGAAGCGCAGTCGCGTTGTCTGTGTGTGTGTCAAGGTGCGAGTATAAGATATTTTCAAGATGGAAAAGTGGAAGGGTTCCTTGGGTTCGGGCTTGGGTTCCTGTTCCTTCGGTTCGACGGAGCTTGGGTTTCTCGGGCTGCGAAACTTTGACGCCGGCAGCGCTGCTGCCAAGAAGTTTCCGGCACAAAAACTTCGCCCAAGTAGAGCGAACAGCTGCCCCAAGCAGGGAAAAGGACGGAATCTGCCAGAAAGAGCGATGGAACAGTGAGCAACCCCTAAGCTGGCCGGTAGATAAAGCCCTATTCCGTAAATCCGTGTCAACAACTTGGGAAACGGTGGGGTGGGGAAACCACCGGACGTAACCCCGAGTTATCCCCCTTGAGACTTGGCCATCCGTATCTGTAAATTTTGCATTTGCAATCCCCGAGATTCGCTTCTGTGATGAGAGCAACAATGGAAATATGTTCAGTATTAGCAAAGCTAAACGGATCCTGAGATTAGCTAGATAAAAATGTCTCACTATTTTTGAAATTTCTGACATTGTTCTACCCCCATATCAACGTCTGTCAGATTAAATGCGTATCTCAGTTTCATATTTCCATCAAACGGGGAATTATTTCTCGAATTTTCTTATATACAGGCCTTTAAAAGTTTTTAGCTTAAGTTTCTTATCTAATTACTGTGAATATATATCTTTCGTAAGGTCTGGTTTTTTTCAAAATTAAAGAATACAAATCTCGTTCGGTCGACCCGATTTTAGAGTGAGAAAAAGTGAAACGGACATGCTGTTCGCATTAAGTCATCTCGATCTCAATCTCGATCTCTGGGGGACTGTGTTAATCCAAAGACCGGCTCTGACTCAGGCAGGTGGGTTCCGTGACTCAGCTTAGGTCTACATCTACAGATGTATCTCTCTGGGGGCGTTCGCTGAAAGGGGCGCGGTCCCAGTCGTTCGCTTTAGCCAGGCATCTCTGTCGAAATCCCCAGCAGTGTGTATCTGAGCGATATAAAATACAAGACACAAGTGGGTGTGTGGTCGTGAGAAGAGTACTCCCGATATGGGGCTCTGGAGGTATGGCTTTGGCTCTGGTTTTTTGGGGGCTGTATTGATTTCCGAAGGCGTAAGCAGCAACTATCAGCACTTTTATAGCTTTTTGTAGTGTGTGTATCTGTATCTTCATCTATATATGTTGTATCTGTATCTTCTGCCGTCGTACTCAGACTCTCTGAAGTGGTCGTGCTATTGGCAGATGCTATTTGAAGACCTCGAGGTCGAGTCTATATAAGATATTTATTCTGATAAACTTTTTTACGTTTGTGCATTTGGAATGTCGTAATTTCGATGAGTCATGTGCTCGAGTTTTCAATTCCCAAGAGATAAACACTAGCTTGTTCGTCGAATTCATAATAATTTTATAATAGTTGTCCTTCTCGAAAAGCTGATTCATTGACTCGGGGTAAATATCTGTGTTCTGAGAAATTCAGATAGATCGGTAATTTACCCATGTTAATCATTCAAATCACCAGGTATTATTTTTGCTGCTTGCAAGATTCTCTACAAGATTGTAACACTATATAATTTCAAATACAAATATCTAATTTTTCTTCAGTAATAAGAAAGCAAAACAAAAAATAAATAAAACAAATATTAAGATGAACAAGGTTTATTTTAACAAAAAGCCTCTCCCCCATATACATAGGTGCAAGAAGTAATGTAAACTGCATTATAACTAAGCTTAAAAAGTTAAAAGAGCTAAATATATTGTTCATTTTCCAAACAAAAATTCAAATGCAAGCACTTGTTGCAAAGAGCGCCAAAACAATAGGGTTAAAGGTTGCCACTCCTCGTTTGCGGAACTTAGGCCTTGCCACACCTGCTCAATTCTAGCGGTACTTTGCGAAGGCGGGCGAAAACAAAACGAAGAAAGCAAATCGTAGATACTTAATTTAAAGTTTAGCCTCTTATTCCGGTTAACTAGCTGTTCATTAATGTTTTTAATCCTTTTCTTGCAGATTCCGGTGGAGTTATTTTAATTTTCCTTCCATTTCGTGGCCTGGCGAAGCGTGAGCAACGCCAGCACCCCAACATTTAAGATTCGGGGCCAACAGCATATCCATCCGCATCCGCAGGTCGAGATGCCGACCATCCGGAGGTGCTGCATCATCGGTTGTCTGTCCAACTCGCGCCAGCACCCGAGCATGCAGTTCTTCGCCTTCCCCCGCCCGGAGAATCCCTTCCACAAGCTGTGGAAGGAGGCGTGCCACGCCTCTCTGAGGCGGATTGTGCCCTTCAAGAAGCCGGTGGTGTGCGCCCTGCACTTTGACCCCAGTGTCCTGGGCGGCAGAAGGCTGCAGTCGAACGCCCTGCCCACGCTGCGCCTGGAGGTTCCGTCCAACCTGGAGGCCGTTGAGCAGCAGGCCATGGTGGAGGAGATCGAGAGGAGCCGCAAGTGCGCCTACATCAATGCAGTCGTCTACGAGTGGCTCGTGAGGGCCAATATCAATCCCCAGCTGCGGGGCAGCATTACTCACGGGATGATCAAGGACAAGGCGGAGAATGCCCGCCAGGTCATCGGGAGCACGTCCTTCATAGCGGACAATCGCTGGCTGAACCGCTTCCGGGAGACGCACCTCCAGGGCTTTGCCCAGAAACTAGCCAGCAATCAGTTGAAGCCTCTGGGATCCTCACTGTGGATTCCGGACATTGTGCAGGACCTGGCCCATCTTTTTCCGCCCGCCAGTGCCGAGAGAGTGGCCAAGCTGGAGGAGATGCCCGAGCAGTATATGAGCTATATGCAGCAGTACGGGGAATACGAGGAGGACGATGACAGTATGGATGTCAAGGAGCAGAGCTACCAGGAGCAGCAGCAGCAACAGCAACACTTTGCCCTCCAGCAGCAACATATGCAACAGCAGCAGCAGGCCCAGATGGGTCTCCCTTGGCCACCATTTCCAGGACATCCCGGACATGCACCTCCACATCCCGGTTTTGCCAGCTTCAATGACTTTTATTTCGAGCGTCATCAGCAGCAAATGCAACAGCAACTCCAGCAGGCGCAGTTCCCACCCACTATGCCGCCGCAAAGGGAACCGTTCCAGCCCCAGTTGCCGCCAAATGTTCCTCCCCAGCGGGCCAGTCCCTTCCAGCCCGTTCAGTTGGCCAAGAGACCCAAAATGGAGTCACCCGATGACGATGAAGTGCAGGAGATCAACTCGTCGGTGACCTCGCCACCACTTCCTCTCGCCGAATCCACCTTGACTAGCAAGGACAGCCGAAGTTCCAGTCCCAAGGAGCAGAATAACAATAATAGCGGGGGCAGGGACAGCGCCAGCAGCAAGGAGAATGCCCCAAAGGGAGGCGGACCCAGCGGCAAGTCCACGCCAGCCCTCTCCTCCAAAGGAAAGGACTCGCCAGCTCCAGCTCAGCCTGCAGCCAAAGCCGCCTCTACTCCCGCCTCGCCCAAGAAGATCCAGAACGGATCTAGCTCCGCTGGCAGTCAAACCAATGGCCACACATCTCCAGAACCCGAAGATAAAAAAACCTTGGCCATGATCAAGGAGTTGGATAGCTACCACCAGGCTTTGGAGTACCTAAAACCGCTGGAGGACTTTGTGCTCTTCAAGGAGAACTTCCGGGCAATCGGTCTGCTATCCCAGCTGGAATTGGTGCTCCGCAAGGGGGACAAGGCCACGCTGGTCGAGGGTTAAAGCGGTGCGGTGAACTTTACCCCATCTCCAGGACGAGCACAAAACACAAATGTGATGAACAGTGTACATATGTATCAAGTAGTATTATTAATACCACCAAACGAGTTGTTTAGGTCTACAAAGAATCTCCACTCGCATAAAGCTGAACATACTTCATTAATTTATTAATTAATCTAAGAACATTAAAATGAAATTTTAAAAATTGCGAAAATGTTTTTTGGTTAGTGGTTGGTGGGAGTACTAAAGGATATTATTTGAATCCTTAAAGTCGGCAGTTATTTATCGATAAGTCTGGCACCCTGAGCCAAAATCAGAGTGACCAAACTGTAGAAACACAAATGGCTTAGTGCGACCAGGTCTTGTGGTGGCCAACAATCCAGAATTTCCCACACCCTTCACCAATGTTTACGTTTTACAGCGAAAAAATCAGAAAACTCAGCAAATTGTTGCTAAACAAGCACCATTAACCACTGAACAAGGCCTAAAACCGCACAAATGTCGCTGCTTGAGCAATATGAACAGCAGTATGCTTCTCTCATTGCCGAAATAACGGCCCATATTGGACGTCTGCAGCAGCAAAACAACAACAGTGAGTGGGTTGATTTTTCAGTAATCAGATACCTCTAACTTTTCACCCTTTTACCCCAGGCGAACGTCATGATTTGTGCAGCAAGATCGACAGCAGTCTGCCCGAGGCCCAGGAACTGCTGGAGCAGATGGGTCTGGAAGTCAGGGAACTGAATCCTGGCCAGCGGAGCAGCTTCAACGGCAAACTGCAGGTGGCCCAGGCAGAACTAAAACGCCTGCAGGCGGAGTATAGGACGACCAAGGACAAACAGCGCTCCCAGGCGAATGCATTCACCACACTGGACTTGGGGGACAGCTATGAGGACGTGTCTATCACCACGGATCAACGCCAGCGCCTGTTGGACAACTCGGAGAGGATTGAGAGGACGGGCAACAGGCTAACCGAGGGCTATCGAGTGGCCGTGGAGACGGAGCAACTTGGCGCCCAGGTGCTTAATGACCTGCACCACCAAAGGGAAACGCTTCAGGGCGCCAGGGCACGTCTTCGGGAGACAAACGCCGAGCTGGGACGAGCTTCTCGCACACTGAACACCATGATGTTGAGAGCCCTGCGCGAGAAGGTCGTCCTGTACGGAGTGGGTGTCTGCTTTGTTGTTGCCGTGGGCGTCAGTCTCTATCTGACCTTCGCACCCAGTTCCACCAGCTCCGTCACATCGTAGTTTTAGCCAAGAAACCAAAAAGAAATCCCTTGATTGTAGCCCAAACTCAAAGGGTCTAGAAGCCTACCCATTCCAAATTCGTGAGTTGATTATTTATTGTTTAGCATATTTTATCTTTACGAGATATTCTGTGGAAGAAAGCTGCAGACTTACGCACTATCTATATCCGATAGGATGGGGTAATACCTTCAATAGGAATCGTAGTTGAGAAAGGTAATCTGTGGCTAGCTCTGGACTTATCAAGTTATTTTATTAAGACTTCACTGTCCCATTCGTATTACTTTTTTAATCATAGTTATTATCCACACAGATTACTTTCTCTTCTCACGACTGTTCCCCGTCCTAATTTACGTGTACAAAGTTTAAGTGGTTAATGTTTGGCGCTTGGTTAATAGTAACTAATCCTACTCTATGACTCGTGTTCGCATTCGGGACGTATTTCTCGCATAAATTCAAAATGAACGTGTATCTAAAAATCATAAACATAGCCGAGAACTGTTAATAAATAAAGAAAACAGTAAAAATGCATCTCTGCAGGGGACATTGAGCCTGGCCGGGATGTGGGTGTTCCAAAGCCTAACCGAACTCAATGTTCCCCAACTGCTAGCAGCCGCAGGAGGAGGCGTCCTCCTCGTTGATCGCCGCACTGCTGCCGGCCGTGTCCACCTGGAAGCTTTTGTGCTCCAAGGCCTGCAGTTCCATCTTGGAGCGATTGGCAAGGACCAGTTGCCTGGAGATGTCGCGGAACATTTCCTCCACTCCGGCGCCATTGCGACAGGATGTCTTGTAGGTGGCACTAATCAACGAGTGGCACTGTTCGCAGAAGGCCTCAACCTCCTCGTCGCTGACCTCCGGCTCCCTGCCCTCCAGATCGCTCTTGTTGCCGCAGATGAAGATCTTGGCGTTCTCCGCGTAAGTGACAATGTCCAGTAAGTGCTGTGACAGCGAGTGGAACGATGCGGCGTTGTCCAAGGCGAAGACCAGGATGGCTCCCTCGGCGAATTTGTAGTACGAGGAGGTCACAGAGGCCACGCGCTCCATGCCGCCGGTGTCCCATAGTTGGAGCTGCCAATAAAAGGAATATTATAGTAGCGTTATATTAAAGATGTTAATGGGGACTCCAGGAGTAGATACTATAGTAGACCACTTAAGATGTGTCTTGACATTAAGAATTTAATGATGTTATTCGTCAAGCCGATCAGTGCTGTTATACCACCAGAAACCCCACCTTGATCTGCTTCTCGTTCACGCTGTATTCCCGATCGATGTGGTCCAATCCCAGCGTGGATTTCCTGTCCGTATCGGTGACAAAGGTGTTGGTAGCAAATCGCCGGAACAGGGAGCTCTTGCCCACTCCGTAGTCGCCGCACAGGATCACCTTCTGTTTGGGTATGCGCATCGTGGCCATGGCTGAGATTCCCCGTGATTTATCCAAATTTAATCCAATTACTTTATTATTTTGCACCAACAACAATGCGACAACAGCTGTTTCTGCAAAAACAATGCCCGCGCAGCGTTGCCAGCCGTTTGAGCGTTATCGATGACCTATAGTTCGATGTCTCTTATCAAATTCAAATGGTCTTATCAGTTCTGATCTCATCTAGGATCTGCCTAAAATAAAGCTGCATAGGTTATTTGATATCAAACATCCTTTTGCTCTAGTATTGAAAAAAAGTATTTGGTAAATTCGAGATTAAATAAAGTGTTTGAATATATTTTAGTGCATAGATAAATATATTTAACTTATAAATTATCTTTAATAACATTTACCTAATCCAATATAGCTGAGTTGCGCTGCACTGAATACAGCAAAGAACAAGCACGACAGAAATGGCTATCATTTTTGAAAAACTACTATCAGATGACCACTGCGCACTGATAATGGTTTACCCTTTAAATAGAGCCACTAGCTACATTGTCACTCCCAGTTGAAGATGTCGATTTGGCTGGTGACATTACTGGCGTTTTTCGCCGCCTTGGCGCAAGGTAGGAATCGTAAATCAAGCGCTATCTCGAAGATAATCTTTTCCTATATAAATTGGAAACCCTAGGCAAACCTGGTTATGGACCCGGGGATCAGGACTGGGGCTTCGTGGATGTGCGTCCCGGTGCCCACATGTTCTACTGGCTATATTACACCACCGCCAATGTTTCCAGCTACACGGAAAGACCCCTAGCCATTTGGCTCCAGGGAGGTCCTGGTGCCTCCTCCACGGGATATGGAAACTTCGAGGAACTTGGACCAGTGGACCTTTATGGCGATTGGCGCAGCTGGACCTGGGTGAAGGACATGAATGTCCTGTTCATCGACAATCCCGTAGGCAGTGGCTTCAGCTACGTGGATAACACGGCGCACTTCACGGCCACCAATAAGGAGATTGCCCTCGATTTGGTGGAGCTGATGAAGGGCTTCTATAGCCTGCACCCGGAATTCGAGGAGGTGCCGCTGCACATCTTCTGCGAGAGTTACGGCGGGAAGATGGCTCCCGAATTCGCCCTGGAATTGTGGAACGCCAAGGAGCGTGGCGAGGTGAAGAGCAACCTCACTTCGGTGGCCCTGGGGGATCCTTGGACATCGCCCATAGACTCTGTGCTGGCCTGGGGACCTTTTCTTAAGGAACTGGGCATTGTGGACCACGCGGGATACAATGCCATTCAGGAGGCGGCCAACTTCACAGCTCAGTTGGTGGAGGAGGAGCGCTGGATCCAGGCCACCTACCAGTGGGGCAACACCCAGTGGGAGGTGATGAAGGCCTCCAAGGGAGTGGACTTCTACAATGTACTGAAGGAGACGAAGGGCGGTCTCTACCAGAGGCAAAAGGCCTTGACAACCGAAGGTGATCGATCGCTTCACTTCAGTATTAAACGATCTTTGTAAACCCCTAAAATTCTTCCTGCAGAACGTATCTATCGCACCATGGTGAAGTACGATATTGATGAGGATCGCACTCAAATTCTGGAGGACCTGATGAGGGGTCCTGTATCGGAAACCCTGGGAATCCCCTCGAACGTCGTCTGGGGATCGCAGAGTGGTACCACCTTCGACATCCACAGAACCGACTTCATGAAACCAGTCATTCACATTGGTGAGAGTCTGTCGCGGAGATATGTATATTTTAACCTAACCACCTGTTAAATGTCAGTAAACGAATTGCTGGAGAAGACCCCTCTGAAGGTGGGTGTGTTTTCCGGTGGCCTGGATCTGATCTGTGCCACTCCGGGCACAGTCAACTGGATAGCCAAACTGGACTGGAGCCACAAGGACGAGTACCTGTTTGCTCCTCGGAACGCCATCACCGTGGACCGCATTTTGGAGGGCTATCAAAAGTCGGGCGGTAACTTTACCATGTTCTGGATCAACCGAAGTGGTCACATGGCTCCGGCGGACAATTCAGCGGCCATGAGTCATGTCCTGCGAGAGTTTACCACCTTTGGGTAGAATCGTTTTTTTTAAATAAACAATTGTATATTTTATTCCTATAAAAAACAGTGTCTTACTTAGTTTACTTAAAAACATTTGGTTACAAGTAAAATTGGTTAAAGTGACTGACTAAGCCATATTACATTACACAACGCCACTCGCTCTTTAATTAGAAATGTCATGATTTTATACTTTATTGGTTTAAAAATAAGAATTTTAAATAATTACTTTGAAAAAATGTTAGGCATCTGTGTGTGGTTTTAGAAGATGAAAGAATGTAGGTTATACAATAAAGATATTTTCAAGCTTAACTACAGTACTTATTTTAAAAAATAATTGACTTGGTATAAATAGTAGTACTCATATATTTTTTAAAATTTCATAACTCCGATAATTGACGAACAACAAATTTTCATGTGCGCAATTTAAATTAATCGTATGTTAATTCTTTTCTCAATACCAGAATATGTCGATGATATAATTATAAACCTATCATATAACGAGGCTTCTTATGTATGAACTCATAAGAGGTACTTTCGTTATCTCTTAGAGATGTCACATGGGATAGACTGCAACTGAAAACGAACGAAAAACATGGGGAAAAGCCCTGGAAAATCCACTCAAGATAGCATAGTGCAATCTATGCTAAGACTTAGGGGCTCTACCTAAATATGTGACACGGGGATTTGCCAAAATTGACAAGTGTCTAACAGAGATTGACCAAAGAGCCGCGTCATCGTCCAACGAAGGGCCATAAATACTCTGCAAAAACAACTCCCCCGCCCGAAGATTACGAATTCCAGGTGTGTCAGGTATGTCAGGTGCTCTGGCTACCTTACCTTCGATGTCTGGGAGCAACCTGCGATCATTCGGCGGTGGAACTGCCAAGTGTTCGGTTGGTTTTAAGCGGTTTCTCTGGGAATCGGAATTGGAATTGGTGCAACATGACTGGACGGGTTGTCATCGCTCTTTTGGCTCTGCTGGGTATTGCCAGCTTGGGTTCTGTTGACGGTGAGTAGCCCGATTTATATTCCGATCAGGGGTGCTAATCAGCGAGAAAGTGTTCCAGTACAAACGGTTTTTACGACTTGTAGAGCAGGTCAGCAAAAGAACCGCAAAACTATCTGTTACTTTTAGACAGAGTCCCCATTTCAGACCCGGAAATTTAAATGTATCATCAGAATTATCTATGTGATTTATTGACAAATTGTCATTTATTTTCGATTTTTATGAGATGTCTGGCATTCTTTATAAGACAATATAATCATCTATCTTTAATATCCATAACAATTAATCTTATCTAAGTGGCTACTCATGCAGCCATTTAATATACTTAAAGGCTAGATTACACTCAAGTGTTCCCCAGAAATCAGGGCCTATCATCGAAGTTCGTTTATGCGTGGGTAATATACAACGTTTAAAGGCCTTTGTTTAATAGTAATTAATTACAAATTCTTAACAGGTAAAGAACCAGATTTAAAAAAGAAAGAACAATGTTAAAATGTCTAGTTCTAAATTCGTTCGGAAAATTAGGGAGATCAAAAGGGAAAGAACACAAATATAGTCTACTAAGAATCTAATATTTTATATCCTTAAACTTAAAATATCTTCAGCTCGAAAGGGCTATGGATCTGGAGAGCAGGATTGGGGTTTTGTAGATGTCCGGACTGGGGCCCACATGTTCTATTGGCTGTACTACACCACCGCCAACGTTTCCAGCTACACGGAGCGTCCTCTGGCCATTTGGCTCCAAGGAGGTCCTGGAGCCTCCTCCACGGGATACGGAAACTTTGAGGAGTTGGGTCCTCTGAAGCTCGATGGCAGCTACCGGAACTGGACTTGGGTGAAGGAAATGAACGTGATGTTCATCGACAACCCTGTGGGTAGTGGCTTCAGCTACGTGGACGGATTATCCTACTACACGACCACCAACAAGCAGATTGCCCTGGATCTGGTGGAGCTGATGAAGGGCTTCTACAAGAACCACCCGGAATTCAAGACAGTGCCGTTGCACATCTTCTGCGAGAGTTATGGCGGGAAGATGGCTCCCGAGTTCGCCCTTGAGCTGGAGTACGCCATCCAGCGTGGAGAGATCGAGAGTAACTTTGTTTCGGTGGCTCTGGGGGATCCTTGGACCTCGCCAATCGATTCTGTGCTGTCGTGGGCTCCCTTCCTGCTGCAGCTGGGAATCGTGGACCAGGATGGCCACGACAAGATTGAAGCTTCGGCCCTGAAGACGAAGGACTATGTGGACCGTGAGAGGTGGACACAGGCCACTCTGCAGTGGAGCTCCACCCAGTCGGTGGTGCTGCGCGAGTCCAAGGGCGTGGACTTCTATAATGTGGAGACCCCGACCCTCGGTGAACAGTACAGTTTGATGGCCCGAGCAGCCATGACTCCAGAGGGTACGGATCTGTAGTGTTTACCTTACCGAAAGTAACCTAACCATCTACTCCGCCAGAGCTCATGTACCGCACACTGGTGAAATTCGACGTGGACGAGGATCGGGACCAGTTGCTGGAGGACCTCATGCTGGGACCCGTCACCGAGGCCCTGGGTATCAACACCGGAGTCAAGTGGGGCGCCCAGAGCGGAACCACCTTCACCAGGCTGATGGGGGATTTCATGAAGCCTGCCGTGCATATTGGTGGGTGATCTTGGTCTTAAGTGCTACTTTTGAATTTGTATAGTTTAGTTCTATAATTTAGTGGGTGAGCTGTTAAGCAACACCACCGTGAAAGTGGGTGTCTTTTCCGGAGGCCTTGACCTCATCTGCGCGACTCCGGGAGCCGTCAATTGGATAGCCGACATGGAATGGACCGACAAGGCATCGTACGAGGCCGCTTCCCGCGTGGGAATCACCGTGGATCGAGTTTTAGAGGGTTACGAAAAGACCTATGGTAACTTCAGCATGTTCTGGGTTAATCGGGCTGGTCACATGGTCCCCGCTGATAACCCTGCTGCGATGTCGCACATCCTGCGACACTTCACCCAGTTTGGTTAATATGGCGGGTAGTAAAGACTTGATGATGAATAAATAAAGATTATTTTCGAAATATATAGGCTCTAGTTGTTTTTAAATTATTTATTTAGGTTTTTGGTTGCTAACGAAAGTAATTTATTTACACGAGTAAACCATGGTGGAAAACAATTTTTCTAACAGAAAGCTATGATCGAAATTTTTTGGGGCCCAGGACCAGATAACTTCGGGACTTGGAATGGGTTTGCTCGTCCATCATGTTTTTAGTTTTTTGTGAATATTTATTTAACCGGTGATATTTATTTTTCTTCAAGCTTCGGGAAGAAACAATACAGCTTTGTATTAACAGATACAATAATATATTAATTCCGTTTCAAGTCAGCGTGCAGCGATCCCCAAACTCCTTTTGTAAAAAATAACGATCGGCTGCGGCGTTGCCACTTGACTGAAGTAACAGTAAAGTTGTCGCATGCGCAGTTGCACCCTCTCAGCTCTCACACACACGTCGGCGTACGCTCTCTTTCTGGCTGACGTTGCGCATGCTACGGCAGCGGCAGAAAAAACAACGCGAGATAAAGCGGCAGCTATTTTTGTATGGGTCGTCGGAACATCGAAACGTTCACACGGACATCGGAAAATACGCGGAGCGCAGCGCACTGCCAGTTGGAAAATCACTATCAGCAAGGCAAATAAGGCACGGAGAAAGGGAGGAAAGAAGGGAATTAAGCCAAAGTACACGGAAAGGTCGAAGAAAAGCCAGAAAAGCAATGACGAAATGATTTGAATTCGCTTGGCACTCGCAGTCAACGCGCATAATCGTAGCCATCGCACACACACAGGCGAACGGGCCCACACACACACACAGGCGAGAGCGAGTGCGATTGAGTAAGGGTGAAAGGGGCGGGCGGAATTGAGTGGGCGCAGCAGCAACAACAAAAAACAACAAGAACAAGACGACAACAATCGGCAATTGCCGTGCAAACTGCACGGGAAAACACAAACAATGCGGATACGCGAGAAGCGCAAGTTGCAGAGGGAGGAGAAGAGGGGGGAGAGGGAGAGGGAGAAGAAGGAGCACAAGGAGTCCTCCAAGACGCAGGACAACAACAACAAGGAGAAGGTGAGTGGCCACAGTGAAGCCCCCCTACGTGTTTCACAACAAAGATACTTTGTACTTACTAAAACGTACGACTGTAAAAGTCATGATCTTGTATTTAGCGGTTCATATTTAAAAGTAACGTTTAAGAGGCTGCGTAATGTGGAAATTTCTAAAGGCGAACCCCAGTGATATCCAATTTTATTGCAATAATAATAACACTGGATAAAAATACTTACATACACTTAAAAAATTCCTTTTTTTTTAAGTTTCTTATATATGTATCTAACATTTTTTTAAAATCATTATTAGCATAATTTTTCCTACATGTATATGTTTATCTTATAGTCATCGTAAAACGTTGAAAATAATGATATGTCTGAACTTATATTTAAAAAAGTTAAGTTTTTTTTAAGTAAGCCACTTACAGAAATCCATTAGAAGTTCACATCCATAGCAGTTTTGCATTGCCTTATTTCGACTGTATTTACCCTTACAACTCCCTTTTTCTTGTTCCTTAGCACACCGACACGGAGGGTCCCACACCAGCTCATGCGCCTGCGCCTGCTCCGCCGCCCACTTCGACCACACCACCCAGCCTGCCGGCAGCCGAGAAGGTGGCCTTCGACAACCGCATCAAGCGCAAGAATGTCCTGGCCCTCAACGAAAAGGTGGCCGCTCTGCGGGAGTACGATCGTCTGCCAGTCTACAAGCACGTGGGCCGGCTGTTCAACTGCAGTCCGGACCAGATCAAGCGGATCGTGCAGCAGCGCCAGGAGATCCTGAACGCGTGGGACCAGCGGACGCGCCGCAGCCAAGATGCCAAGACCATGGAGACGAAGACCGTGCGAGTATCGATGCTGGGCAAGGCCGTCTACGACTGGATGCGGCGCATGATGTACTACAAGGACTTTAGCATCTCCGACGGACTCATTCAGAAGATGGCCTTGCAGTTCAAGAGCTCCATGGGCCTGGCGCACTTCTTCCCGCACCAGGAGTGGTGCGACAAGTTCCGGCGCACCTACAGCATCCAGCACAGCGACACCAGGCTGCTGAAGATCGGCTACACGCAGGGCTACTCGGTGCAGATCAAGGACATCGTCAAGGACGTCATGTCCGAGTGCATGCCAGAGAGTGGGCAGCGAAGCGAGGCGCACGAGGACGACGAAGAAGTCAGCTTGGGCAGTCCGCTGAGCAGCAATCCCCGCAGCTGCGACGACGACGAGGATGACGAAGTGGATGTGGACGGTGGCGGTGTCAGCGGTAGGGAGGATGACCTGGAGGAGGAGCCCGATGTGAAACCCTCGTTGAGTGAACTCAATTTGGCCAGAGCTCTGCAGCCCTTGCCGCCTTTGGTAAGACTGCCCCTGCAAACCAACGCCCCGCCAGGCACGTCCCAAAAAGTGCTCCTGGCCACGCCCATTGTGCCGCCGCAGGCGGGTGGACAGCCCATGACCATGACCATCATACCACTGGCCACTCTGGCCCAGAGCATCACACAGATTCCCACCCCGCAGCAGCAGGACAGGGGTCCTGCGGTGCCGCCGCCCAAGCTAGAAATCAAGCAGGAAAAGGACATAAAAATGGAGCCCAAAGATCCAGAAGAGTGTTTCGAGGAGCAGTCGGAAGCGAAGCTGCAGCAGAACGAAGCCCAAGCACCAAGCGAGGAGTTCGAAACGCCAACCGCAGTGCTAATTAAAGAGGAGCCAGAGCCTGAGCCTGAGCTGGAAACGGAAATTGAAGAGGAGCCAGCGGATCTCGATGATGATGCGAACAATGGACGCTCTAGTGTCACCTCGCTGGCCGAGGTCCTGGCCGCCAATGTGGAGGACGAGATGGAGTACATTGAACGGATGCGACAGCGCAAGACAAGTTCTCCGGCGGCGATCGAAAAGCCGCTAATTCCTCGCAAGGGCACCAAACGCCGCCATGAATCCGGCCAGGACGACAACAACAACGGCGAATCCGGCCAAGGAAGTAGATCATCCAGTGTCATCAGCTGCGCCGATGCCCGCAAGTACCTAAAGCTCCTCAAGGAGTTTGCTCTGGACAAGGAGGACTACCGGCTGATTGGCCTGATCACACGAGCCGGTGAAGTGATGCGCGAAATGGATGACAATGTGGCGTAGGATGAGCCGAACAGCACGAGTTGGCCGAGGAGAGACAGCTGCAGCCAAAGAGCATTAGCGAAGCAAACTGGTGTATCTAGAAGATGCAGATCGGTCGGATGCAATCAATCATTAGATCTAAGGTAACTAATTTGTACGCAAACCCAATAAACGCAATCAAACTTATGTCTGCGCTTCAACGTAGTTATCGAGGCCTGAAATCCAAGTCTTTCGCGATTTATTATTTTAAAAACATAGAAGGTGACTAATACAGTATTGCCTGATGTCACTTATCTTAACCTAAATCTAAAATGGAATCAAAATCTATTTTTAAACGAATTAATTTATTTAATTTGCTGTGGTATTGCAAACTAACGTTTCTTTTATCTCTGATCTGTTTTATTATGTCAAGATTACAACGTCTTTCTTAGCTTAAATATTTATAACATTAACATTAGGATTAGTTAACAAGGTTAGTTTTTAAGATCGAGTGTAAGACTTTGGACACAGTTGAACGGTCTATCTCCTGCGTGGGTTGGGAACACTTGAAGGCCGTTCACCTGTGTGTTTTCGCAAGTGCTTTGATAGATTTGAAGATCTTGCAAATGACTTTGGACATCGGGAACACTTGAAAGGCCGTTCTTCTGCGTGCATGAACATATGTGACTGAAGACTTGAAATGGCAGGAAAAGACTTTGGACATTGGGGACACTTGAAGGGTCTTTCTCCTGTGTGCATGAGCATGTGCGATTGAAGACTGGAACTCCTAATAAAACCCATTGGGCATTCCGAACACTTGAACGGCCGTTCACCTGTGTGCTTTCGAATGTGCACAGTAAAATTTGAAGAATCAGCAAAAGTTTTTGGACATTGGGAACACTTGAAAGGTCGTTCACCTGTGTGTGTTCGCAAGTGCACTGTTAGACTTGTAGATCTTGCAAATGACCTTGGACATTGGGAACACTTGAAAGGCCGTTCTCCTGTGTGCATGAGCATGTGTGATTGACGACTTGAACTGGCAGTAAAGGACTTTGGACATTGGACAACTTTTGGTTACTTAATATGACAATAAGCGGAGGTGTAAATAGGTAAAGAGTAATTTTGCAACTGATTTTAATAGGCGTGACGTTCTTCAGGTTTCATACCTGGGTGGTAAATGGTTTTATACATATGTGTGTAAAAGTGTCCTAAATAATATTTACCTTAAATGGTACTTTTCCCTTTACGAAATCTTTTTATGACCCGCAACCTTTTTTAGGCACACGACCCGTTCAGATGTAAATACTAATCCTTTTTACGATCCTGTTAGCATGTGTCGCGTAAGATGATTATTAGATACTAGCATATGCTTCTTATGACTCCAGTTCTGCTTGAAAGGCCAGTGTGGATTTGAAGATGCCTCCCAAGGCTGGTTTTAGCTTGAAAGTGTTCCGTGTTCTATCAAGTGTCGCCTTGAAAGCTTGCAATAAGAGCACTGAAATTGGCTTATTTCTGTATACGATAGCAGGTTCTTCGAAAGATGCTCATTCCGGTAGAAAGCTTTTATCATTAAAGGCACATGGCGTCTCCCTCGATCTAGAATTAAATAATCATGAGTGAGATCAGTGCGGTAAATACTCTAACGTCCTTCTTGTGGTAAAGTTATATTGCAATATTAGGTCCTTAAAGCTGGTTGACCTTCTTTCCTTCAATACTTCTTAGCATCAATTTATATGTGAACTGCATGTATATGTGGGAGATCTTCTTATCAACACTACAATTACCCCTTATCATTGATGTCGCGATTTCAATTGTGTATCTGTCAAGCTACAAATTGTATGTGTGTTTCAAGATAAGTTCAAATTTGTTCTGTGCTTTGTTTCGTTGAATCTATTCTTTTACTGTACCTAGAACTATGGTTCTTTGCAACTGATATAATAATAGATTCTTACAATGTTGACCTATGCTGTGTGTTCTCACAGCTAAGCTCACATAATCACGGCCAGAATAAAAAGTCGGCTCGCTGATTTTTTTTTGGTCAAGTGCGCATGTCTGCCCTTAGTTCAGCTTCTTCTTGTTTCGCCGGGCGGGAGGTCACTAACTAACACCCAACCACCCACCACCCCACTCACACACACACGGGGCAAAAGAGAGAAGCGCCCAAGAAATTAACGGAATAAGGAGGTCAATCATTAAATTCAATCTTATTTGAGAGATCATTTCCCCTGCCTAGCGGGTATTTTTGGAACTCTTTCGGCACTCAGGGGATAATTTCTGAAAAAGAGTTATAAATACTTTTACATTTGGCTGAATGAAGGCCGACAATCTTGATTGGGGCTCAAATGGGTAAGTGCGCATGTCTGCCCTTAGTTTAAATCGGAATATTTCTCATTGTTTTTCGCTCTCAGCGCGCTCTCTCTCTCTCTCTCTCGCACACACGTGCACCGAAATTGCGGGGGAGTTGGAGCTCTTTGTTTATAAATACGCCGTTACAAAGTGCAAAAAATAAGGCGAAATATTAAAGGAAATATGTGGAGCAGGTAAATTATAGAACCAACTCATTTGTAGCAACCCTCAAGAACAACAGAAATGTCTGGGGATCAAATGATTTATTGCGCATTTCCACACGCACACATGCACGCCCGTCAGACGACTAATCAATCACTCAATCGAGACCCTGCAGTTCCACAATTGAGTTAAGCGCCCAATCATCACGAAGCCGACTGCGACGTCGGCAGAGAAGCCAGCGACGCCGGCAGAGCTGAGCGCAAAGCGACGCGCTCTCAGTCGGGTCCGCAAAGAGAACGCACAAAAAGTAATTTTGGGCTCTCCCTCTCTCTCCATGTCTCAGACGGAAAAGTGCGTGTGATGGGAAGGAGGCCCAGCAACTAAAATATATAGACTTTTGTGCACCCTTGCCTTTTGAATAGTGCGACATTTGTTCGTAAATGATAAAACAACGATTTAAAATAATAGGTTTCTGTTTTAAAATATTTGTATTTCTTAAACAAATTTATATGTTTATTAATATAATTTAATAATATGTAAAGTTTTAAAAATATATTTTTATAAACCGATTTGCATAGTCGAATATGTCTATAAATACCCTGCTTTTATGTGCAAGATGCATAGACCAAACGGGACATGCAAAAAAAACAACAACGGCTTAGCGGAACCGTTGTTGTTGTTGCTTGTTGTTTTTCTGGAAGGCACGCGCCTTTTTTCGTCTTTTCACTTGCGTTTACTTTAGTGAAGGAGTTAGAAGTTGAAGCAAACATACCAGCAATTTACTAAATTAAATTAAATTAGTGCCTTAAAAGTGAAAAAGAAACGATTCCCAGGTAAGTCTGTCGCAGACTAATAATATTGAAAACAGTGAGAGTAAAAAACAAGATAATCTATATTAAAAATAAGGGAAATACAAGATTCCCAAAATAACACGTGGCGGAAAAAAATAGCTGTGAAAAATATTAATTTTTGACGTGAAAAGCAACAAATGGTGCATATAATAAACAAATCTGTGAAAGAATTTAAAAATCTTATTGAGTGCAAAGTTTCTAGGGACAAAAAATAAGAGATGTTTGTTTTTAAAACTTATATTTGTGGTTAAAATTCGATAAAAATGAATATTAATAACATTTAACAACAATTCTTACTTTTGTGTACGTATTTAAATAAAAATCTCAAACATCTCCAATTTTCAGTTCCTGGAAAAGTGTTATTTTTTTCCGCAACTGCAAAATAAATAAATGTTTTAATAAATAATATAAAATACATAAATAATGTGTGGTTTATTTTTCGTAAAAATTGTTTACAACAAAATAAAATAAATCAAGTGACCGAAAACAAAAGTTTGCTAATTTCTTCTCGATATTTTTTGCATTTTCTTATATTTTTAGACAAGGCTGAAGGTAAATCTATAAAAAAATGGAAGGCTAAATCGTTCCATCTTAAGCATATTATCCGAGGAACTTGTTCTGTCCCACAACTTACTTATTAAGTAAGTTTTTATTGAGGCTGAAAGTAACTATTGTTTGTAAGTTTAATTTTTAAAAGACTTCTGGGATTTTTACATTGAATGCCAAAGATAACATTTCTTTTATTATAAATAAATCTTACAAATAACGATTACTTTCGGTCACTCGTTTTTATTCTCGTCTTGTTTTATTTTTAAAACTAATTTTTTTCTAATACTAGATGCAATCGCCATGGTCGATCCCTCGGAGCCTCCCGAAAAGGCGCTGCAGAAGGCAATGCGGTGCGTTAAAAACCAGATGCTGAGGAGGAGGTGCCAGCGACCCCGATAACACCGGAAACCCCCGAGCTCAATTTTTAAAATAAACAAATAAAAATAAAAATTACAACTGAAATTTTTTTTGCTGCTAAGCGCTCAACGTGCGCTGAAAGTGCGCTTTTTCGCTGCTTGAATGAGCGCTCAACGTGTGCTGAATGTGTGCTTTTATCGCGGCTCAATCGAGCGCTCAACATGTGCTGAACGTGCGCTTTTTCAGCTGCTCAATCGAGCGCTCAACATGTGCTGAACGTGTGCTTTTTCAGCTGCTCAATCGAGCGCTCAGGAGGGTGCTCAAAAAAGCGCTCAATGAGTGCTATTTTTTGAGCACTGATGAACCCTAGGACATGCCTATGTTAATTTCAGCACATAGCTCCATACAAATTGTGCGCTCATTGAGCGCTGAGTGATGAGCTTTTTGCAGTGATTGAGTGCTCAATAAGCGCTGAATGGTACTGCAGGGGACACATACACACACACACCCGCTCAATGCCGCTCTACATCAAGTCAGTTCGTGATTGTCGCTCGAGGAGAACATAACGGTTAGAACGCCGGTCGGTCGCCAGGTGGTGGGAATATATATGTCCAGATCCAGAGCAGCAACAACAATCAGTGGGGTTATGTGCGGCGTTTTCCAGCACTTCAACGATTGGTCTGGCAACTCCGACAACTTGTAAACAATACCAGCTGATTGGCGAGAAACAACAAAAAAGGTAAATATTTATGTTTGCTTTTAAATGTTTTGCTATAGTGCTTAAAGCATTTTATAATTTAAATGGTTTAAGTTAAGAACTAAAAATGTGTGATTTGTGCCTGGCCTAATCACAGGTCGGCCTCAAGTTAAATGTCAAATATTTTTTAACTCAATGGTGTTTATTTGTTTATTATTTCCTAGACGAAAACGCAGACTAATAAAATATTTTTTTAGATGGCTGCTGCACTTCCAGATCGCTTTAGTGCGGGCAAAAGACAGTTCTGGCGTGAGTTTTTGGCCTTATATCAGGGAATGCCGGAGCTGTGGGACGTCCACCATGTCAACTACCGGAACAAGGAGCTGCGAAATCGGGCCTACGAGTGTCTGGAGAGGAAGCTCCGGGAGATCCAGCCGAATGCCACGCGCACCGAAGTGGGCAGGCGCATCAACATATTTCGCACCAATTACAGGCGGGAGCAGATGCGAATCCTCAAGCAGAAGGAGCTGGGACTGCACTCTGACCTCTGCAAGCCCACCCTCTGGTTCTACGACTACATGGGCTTCCTTCTGACCCAGGAGACCTTCCAGCACAGGACCAGAAAAGGTCGAGGGGGCAGACAGAAGCCGGTGTTCAGGCATGAAAAGGACGTAGGTTCAGGGTTTTGTCATGAATAGATACTAGCTTTAATATGTTAATATTCCTCAGGATAAATACAACTCGAAAAACGAAGATCTCAACACGGACAGCGTTTGTGATTGGCCTATGAAAGATGACAGCGCTGTGAACCACCCACCCGAAGCAACTGTCCCACAATCCGAAGAGGGTTCCCTGCTCAGCCCCAAAGTGGAGATATTTGAGGCAGAGGAAGGGCCCCCAATGAATGGAATCGAGCATACTGAAGTCAAGGAGGAAGAGTGTGCTGTAGATTCATTGGATACTAGAGAACCCGCCAGATCACCACAAATGGAGCCCGAAAACGAACGTGGAACTGCAAACACCGTTCTCAGCGAAGCCTCCGAAGTGCTGGCCAGATCCTGGGCCATACAGTACGAGGAAATGGAGCCCACGCAACGCATCCTGGCCAGAAAGGCCATCGCGGACATCCTGTTCGAAGGATGCATGGGTAACTTGCGAATAAACCGCGGCGATCTGCGGAGCACCGTGGAAAATAATCTCTAATCTTTGATTCACTAGTATTGAGTGTACTCCTGCATTTGTTACATTGCGATTAATGGGTAAAATGAAGTCAAGTACTGAAAACCCAGACTTAATCGTATAGTTATTTCGACTACCATTTGCCACCAAACCACTCAGGCCATAATTACTATTTTAAAATAATTGAGATACACGGCAATTGAAGAATATGGAAGTGTAAGAATTAATGGATTTTGCAATGCGAAATAAAAACAACTATAATTTTTCCAAAGACATTGTGTCTTCATTTAAAGTTCCCGCGCAAAAGCCACAGTGTTGGATATCGATACCATGAAGCCATAGAAATAAGAGATGGGGGTTGATATATATCGTGACACGATTCTGCACCATGGTAACCATTTATTTTGAATTCATTTTGCTATGCGCTCGTTTTATCATCCCCAGAAGCCATAGTATCTGTGTTTTTCTCTTTATTCGCTTTTTATAATTTATGTTTACTGCTTCTGAGAATTGGGACTGTTCTTCTAAGGCGGCGTTTACCTGAAATGTCTTCGGGCGCCAGCCGTGCCTAAAAAATAGTCACGCACACATCTCTTTAGTGCAATTGTTTTGATATCTGTTTGGGAAGGATAAAAAGGGAGTGTTTCGTCTCTACCTGGAATTCATAGCGTGCTGCACCTGCGCAGGTCCTTGGCTTCATTCGCGCCTTGGACTTAGAGGACTAAGCATCATTAGTAGGGAACTGATGCAATTTCTAGTAAGTAATTTGTTTCAGTTTTGCTGGTCGCAGAAAACTTATGGTTTTATATTACAGGCTCGGATTTACATATAAAGGGAAAACCAGGTGTTCCAACCCACCTTTTGAAATCAGTCTTCAGTCTCACAGGGATCCTCAAGCTCCAAGGACTTTACAGGATCCCGCGATATATGTACATACCTAGACTATTTGATTTCATCGCTAAACTGGGATTTATATGCATAACTAACAATCGCTTATCAATAATTGAAGTGTCTGCGATGCATTCGTATTAAACTGCACACTTCCGCCTTTACGAACCTCTCGATAACGATTTATGATGCAAAAGTGCAGCGAACTGGGAACTATGTGAGTAGTAATGACTTTGCTATAAATCTCTATAGTACGAATAATCAATCGCAAATGCAGGGCCTGGCAGCACTTCGTTCGCTTTGGTCAGAACAACCTGAAGGTGAAGAAGGGCCCAGACGGTCACTACTTGGAGAGCAGATGCCGCGAGGAGCTGCAGAAGTCGCTACCTGCAGAGTCGTTCGAGGAACTTATGGCCTGGGTGGCGAAGTGGTTGAAACGCCTGGACGAGAAGAACGCTATGGTGCGCCCGCAAGAGGTATCACCACAGGACACTCGAGATAAGGTTTCCGATAAGGATCTGCCTGCGGAGAAGGAAGGCAACAAGAAAACACCCGCTGATCCTGCAGTTGTGGACCTTTGCAGCGATGGAGAAGATGTGGAGTCCGTCGGTCCCTTTCCTGATAAGGAAACCTTGGACTCCGAATCGGTCATTTCCAGTTCCTCATTGGTAATCCTAGACGACGAGCTGGGTGAGATGAACTTGAAGGACTATGCGGATCACGTCGATGGAAAACTGGATGAGGCCTCTTTGAGAAAGCGGAATCGCAGGGAGGAGCCCAATACACCTTCTAAGGCCAAAAAGCAGACCTTGATGAAGGCGTTCCTCACTCCCAACGGGAAGAAGATCGAAAAGAGTCCGCCTCCTTCCTTTCGACGTTCTTTGAAAACTTATGTCAAAAGACCAAAGATGCCTGCCAGTGGAGAGGCAATGGATTTGGCAGACACCAATGAAAAGCGAAGCTCTCTGATACTTCGCGAACTAAACGTCGAAGGCGGAAACAACTTGAATAGCTCCTCTAAGGAAGAATCAATACCCGAAGTAATAACTATCACGGATGATAATCCGAGCCAAGAAGATTCGGCGAACAAAGAAGCAAAACGTGAACTCCTAAATGAAAAAGCTAAACCAAAGATTCTGGCACATTACGATGCGAATGAAAAACCCCCCAGAGATGAAGACCCAAACCAAAATGCCATCAAAAATGAGAAACTAAAGCCCAATGACTTAATTGTCAAAGAAACCCCACCCTGTGATTCCTATATATCCAAAGAAATTAAATCAAAATCAGAATCTGATGTTTCAAAAGAGGCAATAAAGTGCGAAACAGAAGTGCCTTTGGACACAAGTGGAGAGGCCAAAGAAAATAGTGAGCCAGGTACAAATAAGGAAGGGCCAAACCCTACTATTACGAAGGACGACTCCCTTAAAAATGAAGTCATGCCCGTACTGACGGGCTTGCTATCAGCTGATACCCAGGCACATCAAGAACTAACTCACGATTCCAGTATAGATCCAGAAGAACAACCCGATCCGCTGTTAAATCAAAGGGCAGAACCTAATACCATACGGATTCGCAGTGATCTCGTTTCCTGTCCAATGGATACCATTCGGGTTCGCACCGATCTGTTGCAGGAGCACGTGGATCGGGTACAACCAGAGGACACTCTCAATCAGTTACGGGGTCATGTTGACCGGATCACACCAGCTCAACGTTCTAATCCGCCGGGAGCTGCTGAAAAGCGAAGGTTGCCGCCAGAAACACCTGGAAATCAATGTGATTCGACATCGACCAGCTTACACGGACAGCCGAAAAGGCCAGCCCTGGATAACTATAATCCTGCACCAGTAAGCACCTCCAGATATCCCCATCCACAGAAAATTGCGTTGCCTGCACCACCGGTTAATACCTCCAGATACCGGCTAATTGCGCCTGCGCCAGCGATTGCTTCATCAGTTGTCAGTGGGAGATATCCACCAGGAGCCACTGGAGCCACAAGCAGCAGCTTCAGTTATCTGTCTCCAGTTTTCCCTTCCAGTTATCAACCAGAGATTCCGCCTGAGCCCCACACCATAAGCAGTTACCAATCAAATGGGATTAACATGCGAGTTTACAGCGCGGAAAAACCAGCACCCCTCGCTGTGAATGCTCCAGCTAATAACAACACCAGTTATCCAGTGGCTCAGGGGTCCAGTACCAACTCTAGCTACCCACAGGAAATCCCCGTGTCTGCTGGAAATATTCCCAACAAAAGTTATCCATCATTTATGCCTGTGGCCCCTGGATCAGCTAACTCAGTATGGTACCCGCCACCGATATATCCGTCATCCAATCCTGTTGAATCTCCACCAGCAACCACGAGTAATCAAACATTTCACCCAGCTGCTGCGACCACTTCCTCCTGTTATCGAGGAATTAACACTGTATCTCATACAATGCCAACAGCATCAGTTTATATACCAGTAATATCAGTGGCTCCAGGATCAGTGGCTTCATCCAGATATCCTTCATCTAATCCTGTGGCTCCTGCACCTGCTGTCTCTTCGAGCTATCAACCGGTAATGTCAGCGGCTCCAGGACCAGTGCCGACATCCAGATATCCTTCACAAAATCCTTTGGCTCCTGCACCAGTTGTAGCTTCAAGCTATCAACCAGTAAAGTCAGCGGCTCCAGGATCAGTGCCGACATCCAGATATCCTCCACATAATCCTATGGCTCCTGCAGCAATTGTCTCTTCAAATTATCGACCAGTAATGTCAGCGGCTCCAGGATCATCCAGATATCCTCCACCTAATCCAGTGGCTCCTGCTGCAGTTGTCTCTTCAAGTTATCAACCAATAAAGTCAGTGGCTTCGGGATCAGTGGCTCCATCCAGATATCCTCCCCCTTGTCAAGTGCCTACTGCAGCAGTTGTCACTTCCATACATCAAACAATTAAACCTGTGGCTCCTGCACCAGTAGCATCCTCCAGCTATCAACCAAGTAATCCTGTGGCTCATGCTCCTCCTCATTCATCCAATAATCAACTTACAGGAGGCACCACCAGTTTGTCCAACATCATGGGCATGCTAGCCCAGGTGGAGTTCTTTGCCTATGGTCAAAAGAACCAAGAGGCTTTCCATCTCGTCAACCAACTGCGCCTAAGCCTCCAGAAAGGAGCGGCAAATAATTGCCACGCCCCTAAGCGAAATGTTTAGATTTTACCATTACATCATTATTGCTTAAAAGAGTATAATTTTAGAAAACTTACTCGTTACTTTCCTAGTTTATAGAATTTGTTAAACATGCCATTGTATTTTGATAGGCTATATCAAATAAAAAAAAATAGTTTTACGACAAGTTTTTGTTGTTGTTTAACATCTTCTGACAGCATTACATTGAAGAATTGTACCACAGAACTTTGAAAAATAAAACAATTACCAACAAAATCAAATACGGTTATATTTTGCTATTACGTGTCTGGACTTGTTAAAATCTGTACGATAACAATAAAAAGTTGTATTTTCAATATATGATGAAAGTTTCATCAATATAAGTACTGTACAAAAGTAACAAAAATTGTTCCAATTGTAATGGATTTCAAAATCTCAAAAGACAAATCTGGGGGCCTTATTCGCACTCTCTTTGAATTGCCTTCAGACTTGGGGCTTGCAAATGATTTACCCATCTGTTGTTGATATTTCTGCACCTGTGGCACTTTAAGTTTAGCAGATGAGCTGCCCACCTGCCTGCCCATCTACAGCTGCAGTAGAAGTACTAGGTCTAATGACTAATAAACCAATTAAATGAACTATTAGCAATTAAATTACCACTGAAATCAATCTGGTTATTGATCTGCGTTTTATATTTAGTTTATCTTTAAGCTTACCATGAAATAGTTGCGGAAATTATTCATGGGATGATCATTTTTATAAACACCAATGAAAGGAAGTAAATTTACAGGAAACAAATTAAATTAATATATTCGTTATCTAATCAATAGAAACATACTGGTATACCAACCACTACAACTGTGACCTCTGCTGTGTGCCTGCAATTTAGCTAGACAACTGCAGGGAAAAATTCAAATCACTGGGAGATGCCGATTGGGGCTGGTTCGGATGGCTCTGATGACTGAGAGCTGTTGCAGCACTTTGCACCTGTCGTCCGCCCAACGCAAATGAAAAATCAAGCGCAGCTTTAATTGATACAACAACCGCAGTGGAAACCCAGTTCTGGGTGAGATGGTATATGGGTATATGGGATGCTGATGCTGATGCTGGGGTGCAGTTGCAGTTGCAGTTTTAGTTGCACGTGTTGCCTGTAAACTAGTCGCGGCAAAAATGCTGTAAGAAATGCCAGGCAGCTGCCGCCAAAGAGTGGGGGATTCATAGGCTCAGGACCCCACAATCGAGAGAATCGGGGAGGAAAAGCGCCCTTCGAGGGGCCGAGTCCTAAATGGGCATTGAAATTAAATGCAGCTGCTTTAATGAAGCTCATGCTTGCTTCGGCATCGGATTCAGAGATGCCTAGTTGGCCTTTTATCAGATTTATAAATTATTTCTGCTGCATAATAATAAAAAGGAAAACATTTTATTTCCTGTTCCCAAAAATGCAATAAAGATGAGTTAATGGATTAATTGGTTATCACGTCTGAAATTATTGCCTTGAATGCTCAGTTTATATATTGAGATTATTAAAATAATATATTAACAAACTAAAAATGAAAACTGTATTAATTTATAACCAACTTAAGGACCTTAAAGTGGTAACAAGTAAGTTGTGGTCTTCAGAGAAATGTTGCAGAAATTGGAATATATTTATGCTTTATGTTATGTATTATATGGTGCTCTTATTGGTTTTTAAACAAACACGTTTTTTATTTAAAAATGTAGAAAAATATAGTTAAAGGCTAATAACATGACATCAATAAAATGTTCTTAAATTCAACTTCATCACACATCTGTATAGTATCAGACATCACTGAGAGGATAGGATACGATAGTCGATGGATCGGATCGGATGGCCTGGTCAAATCTGTGAATATGCCACAAACGCTGCCCCAGTGGGCGTGCGGTGGGCGTGGCAGTGCGGCCACGGAGTGAAATACCCGTGGTGGTCGCCGTTTTCCTCGGCTTGGTGGGCGCCAGCAATCTGCAACAGCAGCAATCTGCAGCAGCAACATCAACGGCAACAATCTGCAACAGCAAGAGCAACAGCAACACAAACAAACTGCAACACGGCGCCTTCGCCTTTTTGGGACATTTAATGGGAGTTGCCGTTGCCTTTTTTGGTGCAACGAAATCAAGCAACAAAAATCTTTTTATCGCTCGGTGCTTCCCTCCTTTTCCCCTTCGGATGATGATGATATCGTTTGTTTGGTTGGTTTGTTTGCTTGCCAGTTTGTTGGTTTATTTTTATTCGCCAGCAGCTGTGACTTGCAACTTGCAACACTGCAGTTGCATGAAAATAAACGCTTTTCAAAGTGCCTAGCTGGGCGAAAGGAGCAACATTTAGCCTAAAATGATCGCAATTTTGGCCAAAACCAGAGCCCAGCCCTCTGGAATCGATGCGATCATGAGTTGCACACGATCTTTCGGATTTCGTCTGTATCGTCGGCCTTAATCGATAAGCACAGACCAGCGAAAGATATCTCAGAAGAGGTCAATTGGAATTCAAAATCTATTTTTTGCCATACCAATAAATAACACATGAAAATATAGGTATCAAATTTATCCTGACATTCCTTCTTATCTGTGAACTTATACTGTATAGAACTGTACTGTATAGAAACATGTTTATTAAGCTTGTGTTCCCAGACAGCCTTTTGTCGAGCCCAAATGTGGGTAAACAGTTGAACAATAACCAATTGCAGTTCTCACACACTTCGGCACGCGTCGAAAACGGAACCACCCCGATCCATCAGATTGCAGGTGCGCACATAGTGCGATATAGTTAGTGGCCATATAGGGGTGGGTATACGATTCGATCTGGGCTCTGGACAGTCGGCGGCTTCTCAGCTCATCGCGAATGGGAATCGGGAAGCCGGAGAGTCACACGAGAACCGAAACAGTTGCTCATGTTTGGGAACGGGAAAGGGAATTGGAATCCGGGGGAAATACCTTCCAAAGTGAGGGTGGGTGGGCCTCTCGTGTCGTGTGAACTTTGGCGAGGAGATACCCGCAGACTAATGAGAATCTCTGGAGCATAGGCACCGAGTTTAGGAACCGGGGAAAGCATTCAAATTAACTTGGAGCAGCTTTTCTCAGGAGGTGTGTCTGGCATAATGTGGGAATCAGACCAGAATGCGACTGGGAACGGGAGTGGGTATGGGAAAAATTCCTCTCGATTTTTGGCTCCTCTCGAGCTTCTTTGACCAGCGCAATTACATGATCAAAAATTCTCCTCGCACTTTTTGCCGCATTTTCAGTTTCGAAATATCTCGAGTGCCTTTCGCATGACCAAGTGTGGGACTGAGAACTGATTCAGATTCGGATACTTATACTTCAATATGGGTATGGACATATATTCGCTATCCTGCCTGCATCTTAATGAATTGCCGGTCATTTGGGGCCGCGCTGCTAAACGAGCATTACCTATTAAACCCCGGCCATAAGCCCCATAAAAGTTGACAAGGGCAGCTGGAAATTCAGAAATCCAGAGCCAGAATTTTGTTAATGATGGGCCAGGCCAGCCGAAAAAAGGATACGGCGCCTTTTGATTCTCCGCATATTTTCTGCTCTGCGTGCATTTCGAATAATCTTTTTATTTATTTTTGTGGCCCGAAACTTTTATGAGCGAGTGAGTAAGCCGAAAAGTTGGGCTTTCGGCGACACCTTTTAAGCGCGCCAATCGAATCAATGTTTTAACACGAGAATACCATTTCCGAAACGAGCTAATTAACGACTCCCGAAATGAAGAAAAAAGTCCAAAATTCTACGAATACCCGGGGCAGCTGCAGCTGCAAACGCAGAATTGGGCAAATGGAATTCATATTCGTTTGATTTCATTTCGCCATCCTGCGAAAGTGAAACCGCAGCAGGTGATCTCCACTCGGCATCATTTTTGCCAACAAGTTTTGGCAATTTGAAAATCTCTGCGCTAATTACTGACGACTGGAGTCGGGAATCGGGGACATGCAGCTGCCTGGGAATCGAAATATGGGACTGGGAACGAAACTGGGGCCGAAACTGGGACCTTGTTGCCTAATTGAACCCATCAATTTGGAGTTAATGAAGTGGCAGCCGAGCCAGAAAATGTCGCTGCGCATTTTCAACTCCAGCGACGCTGCAATTCATGAGGCATCTCTCTTTTTCGGCCGATAACGGGGCATAAAACACATTCGCCGGTGCAGAGGAGAGCTTCCTGTACAGCAGCCACTGGCTACCGTGGCAGCCGTTTAATTAGCGGGTTAATTGGCCATGAGCCGTCCCCATACCCCAGGCCTCCTCCCCATCCACCATATGCCATCTACCATGTGCACCTCCATTCGCAGCCCCGCGATTTGGCAACTTCATTAATAACATAGATAGCCAGATTTTCCTTGAGCCAACTGCCGTTTGTCATAGATGCTGGTACAGTGAGAAAAAACTTTAATTTCTTGGGCTTTTCCTTATTTTAACCAATTGGATAGCTAGAAGCAAAAGTATACTGAATAGTCAAGCAAAATGTATAAAAATTGTATAGCAACTTCTGTAATACAATACTTATATTGCACTATAAATAGTTGTAAGATTGATTGATAAGTTCTAAACATATAAACTAGCGGTTTCTTTAAGTGCACGAGGTATCTGCAGTGGAAGTTGGGAGCTTAGTGTTTGGCGAGGGGAGCCTCTATCGATGCTGCAGTGACAAATGATATGTTGACAACGGCCAACAGGTAGTTGCAAAATTTTGACTTTTGCTTATCGTCGAGGTGCGAGACATTATACGTGAATAAATGCGCATGAGCAGGAGGATGGGAGCCCCATCTGCATCGCCAGCTTCATTTGCGAAATCTCTCGTTTATGATGATCATTTTCCGCCCCGCAATCACTCATTGTTATCGGTTCCGAAGAGGGAATCTTTGTTTGGAGAAGCTTTTCTGGTAGTCATGCCCCTCACGGACCATCCATCATCATTTACGGGTGCTATCAGTTAAGTGGAAGGACAATCCTTGAAGGAGTTCGACAAAAATAAAGGTGGATCATCTGTTTTACTAAATGGGAAATGAATCATATATCTGAACAAATTAACAGCTGCATTTATCGATTACTTTAATATGTATTCTTTAAAATAAGAGTTCATTCAGTGTATTCATAATATATATTAAAATAATAAAAAAGCAACTGTCATTATGTCTGAATATAAAATGTGCTCATCCCAAATTTAGAAAACATCTTATCTGATCTCCTTTCCCCAAAAAAATAATATATATGTTTTTA